CTTTTAATTTAAGAAACTACGAAAATATATTCCAATGTAGGAGAAAATGATTTACATATTTATCCCGGGGAGAGGAAATCCGCTAAGACAGCTTAATCATATGGTGAACCACGCACTCTCGTCCGGTTACTGGTCCAGGTCGGGTATGGGATTAGTTAGCCAGGTATTTGTTTTCAGAAGCAGGGACTTGATGGTGGAGGAAGCCGTAACCGGCCAGCGGTTACGTGAACCACCCTACGCCGGCGAGGAGGCCAGCAATCCTCTCGCACATGATCATCTCCGCATGGGATTCGAACATGCGAACCCACGAAGGGTAATCAGAGATGCGGTGGCGAGCGTATTCCTAACGCTTAACACGATGCGCCATACAGCCGAGCCTATAATATTACTTCATTCCTGACCAGTAGAAATAGACTCCAAAGTATTTTACTTCCTGACTGGTATTATTACTCCGTTTATGCGTAATTGATGGTAATTTTTCGGGTGAAGAATACAACCATTGATTTGTGACGAAGATTCGGAAACTCCATTGGTTGCACCAGGACTGAAAACAATCCAAAGAGTTATGGGAGGAAACGTTAAATCTTCAATTTTGAGCCCAATGTGCCATAGAACGCTATTGTCAGCAAGCAATCGAACATTATCTGATGGAATAGAATTAGGCATATCGTTTATCATTATACGTGTCAACCAGGAATAGCTCTTGTTGAAGATATTGACAGCACAGATTTAGTAGTACTGAACCTCTTGTCCCACTAGACTAGCATAAATTTATCCCATAACAAAATAAATACTTACTCGTTATTGGATTTAACAATAGCCTCTCCTGATGTCGCACAAAGATGTAATGCAATTGTGAGTTGCTGGGAAGTTATTACGTAATGGTTAAAGTTTATTTTAACGTAACACAAGTCAGTGACACAAGTAATCACATAGATTCGTGGCGACATGTAAGCAGTGGGCTCCCTTGAGGAATTCCGTTTTCTCGTGAGAAAATGCTTGAAAGGCTCTTACCTGAAATCGATGATTCGTCCTGAATAAAATGCAACGAAAAGTCCATTTTCCCCGAACACCAATGATATACAGTTTTGTATATCGGTCCTCTTTTCCATACCTTGTCATAAGATTTTTCCATGTCCAGGAAAATGCGAAGTACAGATCTTTTATTAGGTAAAGCTTTATATATGACATCGTGTAATTTTAGATCGAGGGTCGAAAAAAAAACATATTTCTATATCATACATAGCAACTTTTCGTAGCTTGAAACGTTTTTTAGGACCTCAAGGCTCATGAAAACAAATGTTTTCGCAAAGTTTTGCATGAACAATGTTTGCAGTGTTACAAAAAAGGGAATACAGTAAGTCCCGTACCAAAACTAAATCGAATCTCAGTCTTAACAAATTCCTCGAGGTATTTTTTGCTTAAACATCAAAATTTGGTTTTAGTTTGGTTGTGGCAGCATAGGCGGGAAGGATTAAATAACCCAACGGGTCAGATTTGACCCATGGGCCGCATACCGCCCATGTCAGGGCTAGAAAAAAACTTTTCCTCGTTTGATTGCGAAGTTTTTGCAATCTATAGTAGGCCTACCGCTACTTTGTCAAAAAATACCCATAAAGAGAATATACCTATCATATCGGATTGTATGCCCGCCATTCACGCTATAAACAATAACTCGGATAAAATTAGTAATTTTTTTTCATATGTTCAGACTTTTTGAGTTACAGGAACGAGGATGCAAAATCACATTACTATGGGCTCCAGGACATGTCGGCATTCAGGGTAAAAAATTCGCCGACAAAATAGCAAAGGTATCAGCGGAAAAAATCGACGTGGACAAAGGATTATGCCAATCACACAACAAAGTCAATTCACAAATTCGACAATTCTGCCTGAAATTTTCTATTGATTTTGTGTGAAGTCCCCAAAGAGAGTACTATAGGCACATAAAAGGTTTTGTTTAAATTTTCTTGCGCAAAAGACTTGAATTGTTGAAAATTGTACTTTTATACAACACACACACAGTGATTTTATGTAGCAAGTGTAAAGTCAGTTAACAAAATCTGATTTTGGTCAATTTTAGAAAGCCCATATTTTTTAATCTCATTCCACTGTTGATCATTCTTTGGTGTTAGACCAGCGTTTCCCAACCTTTTCTGGTCGCGGACAATTTTCTCACCGGCGAAAACCTTTGCGGACTCAATATTGCAACCGTACTCTGTGTGAAAAAGAAATAAAACCAATTACAACAGAAATTAAACGAATTTTGAAATCGGAAATTCGCCTCAATTACGCGTTCGTTAAAAGAGACGATTTTTGTCGCACAATATTCAATCTATCACAACGACGAGAATTTAAAATGTCCTTTAATTTAATTATGTTCATGGTAACTCGCGGTTGCGTCGACTTACGACAAGATGAAAGCATTACTTCCTTAAAATGGCAGGGCAATCTGCGACTATAATAATGTGAGAATATATAATATTGCCCGATTATATTTTTTGCGATCTTGCGAATTTGTTATCGCCGTTAGAAAAATCCTACCGTCTGCTATAAATTTCCAGAAAGTACAACTTGATTTAGTACTTATTTAAAATATATTTAAAGTATATCAGTAAACTAAAAATACATATCCATCTTCTTGCTTTATTATTAATTTAGTTGTGATCATTTTAATCTGCATTTGTGTTGTCGAAATAAAAGCAATGCTACTCAGAAAATATCATGACAATGCGTGGACACAAATATGCGTGGTAGAGTGCTTGATTATATTTTGTTTTGATTCGTATTTTTGTAAATTCGACAAATCTGAGCTGTTCGTACAACACTTACGGTGCTCCAGTACTGTACGTACCAATGTGGAGGCAGTAAAGCAAAGAATCCTAAGGGAAAATGCCCTGGTACGTATACTACCCGAAATTTTGCGATTCGTAATGTCTAAAAAAGCGTTTTTAATCGGTCGCGGACCATCATAAAACAAAATTTAAGGTGTTTTCCGTTTTATTTTTAGTATTGCCGCTTTTCAATTTAGAAAATTCGGGTTGCCACCATTGACACCTATCATCAGAAAAAAATATATATTCCTCGTTGTTCGAACTTGCGAAACTCCATTTAGATATCTATCGAAGCGTGTGCACCCTCGTGTTTTCGTCGGAAATCCGCAAGTGAGTTGTGCAATCCGATCGTTTGATTAGGCGACGCGCAGGTGACCTTGACGTCACCTGTTACCAAATTTTCGAATAGTAAATTTATATTCTAATAGTCGAATTTTCGAATATATGATCAACCCTACTCAGTAACCAGTAATTATTAACTCGATTAATGTTATGTGAATAAACTTGCTTTTTATGTTTTATGTAAATTTTGACGTAAATCGTAACTTGGCTGATAGTTGAGTTTCGCAAAAACGTTTGCTGCCCGAAGTTTTTTTCTGGCTCGTTGCGGACTCATTCAAACGCTCTGCGGACTCATTTGAGACCGCGGACTCGGGTTGGGAAACACTGTGTTAGACACTTGACTTGTATATGTAATCAAAATCGTTGTCGAAAGTTGTTGGCAAAAAGAGTAACATATTCGAATTAGGCCTCGAATTATGGAATTCACAAATTTTGAAAATCAAATTTTTGGTTAAAATTGGATGTGCGGTACCTCATGAAGACTCGTTTCGTTCCTACTCCATATTATATATAATACTTCTGACAACCTATTCGATTAATATTTACTGTAATAAGTTGTTGGCACTTTGCAGATTATATTCGAATTCGTCTTCGTATCCTCGTGCAGACGTTTTCTTATGCTATTTTGTGATTCTACGTCTTGTGATGTACATTTCTGTATTTTATAACTATAACTTCGAGTTTTTAATTCCGGGTAGAATCCGTTTCTTTGTAAGAAATATTATTAAAAGTTGTCTATTCCGCGTGGGAACCGGTTGAAAACTGCAGAATATTTTCCCGCTGAAATTCCGCTGGATTCACAGTGGTGTTAAAAATTGCTACCGGTATGTATGATGCAAAAAGTGACACTACAATTCCAGAAATTTCGCATGTTGTTGGATGCAATATATTTTCACATTTTCAGCTACATGTTTTGTTTCATTGTTCAATCAGTTGCTTTATTGAATATGTAAAAAATTGCACAAAAGTTACACCCAAGACTTACCTAGTAGATAAAAAAAATATAGCGTGACACTACAGGACGGCAAATCCACCATGCACTAACATAACTGTACCACACTATCAAACACTTTGTGTCAGGAATCATCACAAAATATGTCAATTATACCAAAATTTCTACATTTCAGGCCAATTTTTATAAACCATCACAAACCTGGGTGAAATTTTAAATTGTTCGATAAAATTAATGCAGTCCAATAAAAATCCAATGTCTTTTGATATCAAAAATAAAAAAAAATTACTTTTACTGCACTTTTTAGAAAATTGATGGAATTTAACTTTTGCTTGGAATGGCCCTTATAAGTAGTTGGCACTTTGCGAATTATATTCGAATTCGTCCTCGTATCCTCGTGCAAACGTTTTCTTACGCTATTTTGTGATTCTACGTCTTGTGATGTACATTTATGTATTTTATAATTAACACTACCAGCCGAATGTGCTTAAACTATTACTTCGAGTTTTTAATTACGCGTAGGACCCGTTTCTTCGTAAGAAATATTATTGATAATTTGTTTCATTCCGCGTGGGAACCGGTTGAAAACTGCAGAATATTTTCCGCTGGATTCACAATGGTGTTAAACATTGCTATGTATGATGCAAAAAAGTTTTTTTACACTACAAGAGGCAGGGTTCTCACTCACAGAACACTGGGGATGGTTCAGAGCCTCTAATTATCTATTAACATTCATAATCAGCCATCTTTCCATCTCCCATTACAAGGAGAGCGTTCGCACAGTTGCAGGCTAACCCGTTAACCGCCGTCGCATGGCGAGTTAGCCTCCACTCTTATTATAACTTACTTTTTTTCATACAGCAGGTACCGTAAATCATTGTTTATTGATAGCCTAATACCGGTAGTGATTCATACATGTTAACATCGTATTGTGTATTGGAAAGCTGATGTTTTCAGAACTGAACACTCACAGCGAGACAAAGTGATTTAGAGGGTTAAGGTAATTGTTTATATATTTCATAGTGATACCGGTACCGGTACGTGCATAATCACATACCTTATTTTGAGGACCATAAGGGCACTAAAATTCTCCTTTTCTCTCCTTTAGTGTAGTTTCGTACTTCTAGTGCAGTAGTGCGTAGTGGGGGCAAAATAACAATCTTTGCATATGTCAATCCTAACTGTCATCAAAGACGCTATAAAATGAAACTTCCAAAGTGGGGCCAATGATCCAAAATAAAGAATAGGTGCGGTCCGAATTAGGGCTAAGATCTGAAGCCCGAGCCCGAAATTCGGGCCGGGTCGGGCCTGAAATGTCAATCATTACATTCGGGTCAAGCTTCTATATCGCTGACTTTTTTTTTTTAAATTAGGCGTTTCGGCCGTGTTATGGCCACGAGAGACCGTGGTCTGCAAAGAACAGAAGTTGCATCATCAACACGACACATACTGTACTAAACTCTTGCAATGACAATTCAAAGAACTCTCAAATAAAATATTTTTGTGTTTGCTTGGGGCTCGGGCCAGCAAATCCAGATAATTAGTCGGGCTCGGGTCGGGTTTAGCACCCACGAGCCTGGCTGGAATTTTTGGGCCCGATGTTACCTCTAGGCAGAATCCACTACTCAGAAGTCCGGATTCGGACAGTGGTCCGCCAGTTGAGTAGCCCTGCTCTACAGCACACATCTTAGTGCACCTTCTTGACACACAGTTTGCTTATTAGTCATTCTAACTCTTAAATGATTTTTTTTATTTTCTAGATTTTCGACCTGAAGCCGCCACAGAATTTGTAGATCATGTTGAGGTTTATTCGAAAAAGGTTCGAACTTTTGTGTGTTTTTTTGCTCCTGCAGTAATGTTCAAAGGTGGGTTCTGAAATTTCTAATCGCCAAGTTAGACTGTAACAGCTAGCAGGGACAGTGTGTGTTTCGATCCAAAAAAAATTGATATATATGATACAGAAAATTGCCTTTATTCTCATTTTTTTCCATCTTCAACCCCACTCCCCTGGCTACGCTCCTGGTGCAATCACTGCGAGCGTCACTACGGCAACAATGTTGGATGAAACGGTCAATCCACCATTATATCCCTACATTTTTTTGGCCCAACACTCATCAGGATTTTTATCTGTTTATCTATTGGATATTATCAGATCAAGTCTTATGATGGCATATAATTCAGGTTCTCCTGAAATATGTGAAACAAGATGGCGGACACTGGAACGTAGCATGTGTAGCAGGTTAAGGTTAGGCCATCATTTTAGTCTCTGAACTCATAATAGCCTAACCCTAACCTGGTACACAACTACTTTTCGTTGTCCGCCATCTCGGTTCACATGCTTCGAGAGTACCCAAATATTGATAACATAGAAAAGTCCTTAAAAGGGGGCCTGATTCCAACCCCCTTCCTCTGGCTACACTCCTGGTCCAATCACTGGGGTTACAACGCTTTTTTATCGTGTTGGTGAAACAGTTAAATGTCCAACCCACCATTATATTTCTACATATTTCTGACCCAACACTTATCAGGATTTTTATCTCTTCATCTATTTGATATTATCAGATCAAGCCAAACACCATTTATTATTAATTCCAATTGTTTAATAATTGTTACGTAATGATAATTTCTCGTTCTAATCGGAAACTGTATGTAACATTTGGAAATGGTGGATGGTAACTCACTGGTTGGGATGTAAAGAAAGCTCACAAATATGGAAACTAGGTTATTAAGGGTTCTTGAAATAGAATTTGTTGCTTCATTGCTTTTTGAGTCCAGTCATAGAAATTTTTTCCGTTTCCAGAGTTTGATCCAAAGTCACAGACTATAAAGATGAAGCTGTTGAAGTTTATTGAAAAAAGGTTTGGACTTTTGTTCTCCGTCTATGAAATAGGATAAGATTTACAAATTATCCCGAGGAAAGGAAACATTATGGCGAACCACCGCCTCTCGTCAGGTTACCATTCCATGTCGGGTATGGGATTAGTTAGTTACACCTAAAAACAGCAAACCTTTCGTGCATAGCTATCTCCGCATGGGATTCAAACCTGCGAACCCACGCAGAGTAATCAGAACTTGTGCGGCCACTGGAAACCTCATGCCGCTGGAAACATCATGCCAAAAATATATACGATCAATCACTAGGGGTCACACTGAAAAGTTATTTAGACATGATTGTTGTTCGACTACCGATTTGTTCGAGCACCGAAGCATTTCTGGTCATAGGAATTGACTTTCCTCTCCTCTAACTTTTTATTGAAATATTTGGTGAATTTCCGAATGAATCGTATTGGCAGTTATGATTTATTTAAAATCTATTGTTGTTTTTCCATGATTTGTGTATTTTTGAAGATAATTTTTTTTTTTTTATATGCTTCATTGCTATATTTGACGCTGTAATACAGCAACAAGGTGTCGCTGAATAGATGACTCATTGAGTCTCTTGCGATCCCTGCTCAATTGCTATGAATCACTGTTTCCTGTGTTTTTAGTTTACTATGTTTCTTTTTTTGCTTTTTATTAATTCTAGCATGATGAAATAAAATATCTGAATCTCAAACTAATGGGGGTTGCTAAAAGTGTCGTCTCAAATTTTAAAATAATTTATTTTTATTTTCAGAGTTCGACCCAAAGCCTCGGATCACGGGGACGATGTTGAAGTTTATTCAAAAAGGTTTGGACTTTTGTAGGAATTTAATATTGTATTATATATTAAAATGTCTTAGATGAAATCCTTTTTTCACTGCCCCTTTGCCACAATTCGCTTGAAACAAATACAGTGATACCTCAGTAGTCGGTCAAGATTTGTCCTTGATTGCTGTTCGAGCACCGAAGCTTTTTTGGTCAAAAGAATTGACTTTCCTCTCCTGTAACTTTTTAATGAAATATTTAGTGAATATTGCTTCAAGCCACAAGGGGCAAAAGTGGTAAATTTGAAAGTCAGATGAGATCACGAATATAATGCGAATAAGTTGAATTGGAACGATATCCCACAAATTAACTTTCACAACGCTACACAACTGAAGTGCACGGATGGCATTTTGAGCATCTATGAATGTAATATAACATATGCCTTAAAAAAACTTTGTAAAAGTTATACTTTGTAATTTGACAAATATTTTGTTTTTTCTGGGTTCCGCCCTGTATGGTTACATACCAGATTAAATAAACCCCCCCCCCTACCAGTTTAGGAAACCTATTTCTTTGATATTTTTAGGAAATTCCAACATTCACATTTTTGTTTTAAACGCTTGAATTTATTAAACCCCAAAACTCTATGTTACATATTAGGGTACTCCCGAAGTATGTGAACCAAGATGCCGTACATCGGAACGTAGTATGTGTACCAAGTTAAGGTTAGGTCATGATTTTATTCCAATTTTTCCTATTTTAGTTCTCTTTCAAGTTTGGGGACTAGCCAAATGCTCCTCGTAGTATTTATACCTGAAATTATGGCCCCAACCTGGTCAACATACTACGTTCCGGTGTCCGTATCTTGGTTCACATACTTCGGCAGTATCATTCTGGCTCCATGACACACAGTTTTCAAGCCCTTCTCTTATCTGGAATTCTCAAATTTAAAAATATTTTTTCTAATTTCAGAGTTCGATCCAAAGCCTCGGATCACAAGGACGATGTTGAAGTTTATTCGAAAAGGTTTGGACTTTGTGCTTTTGTCTGTGAAATAAAGTCCCATCATAAGGTGTTTTTATGCCGAAATATATATGGTCAACCACCAAGAGTAGGGCTGGGCCTTTCGAATCAAATAGTAAATTGTTCGAATCGGTTCAGAGTAAATTTTTTGGAAGTGCCGCTATCTTGTTTTTTTTTCTTTCCATCTATGGTTTGGGTGAATTTCTCATTTTTTTTTATTGAAGCCTATTCACAACACAATTCTGAGTTATTGATAAAACTTTTGTCCTATTGCGTGTGAACGCTCAGCAATAGGTCTTAGTGATGTATGTACAAAAAATAGCATAATATTAACTCCCAACTATTCGAGATTCGTATAAAATATTCGATTCGATTCTGATCATCATTATATTTGGAAATGTCCAGCTCTAACCAGGAGTTGTGGTCACTAGAGGTCACTCTTACCATAAATTAAGACATGATTGATTGGTTGCATAAGTCGCTTGAACTCTTGTAGCATTGACGCCCAGTGTGTGTTGTTACACAGCTTTTGTATGATCCAACCAAATCCTAAACAAATAGTCAATGAAGCATGTCCTGCCAGAATAAGTCCTTCCAGGCAAATGTAAGATTTTTCTGACCAGTTCTGATTAACTGAAATATTGTACCTGTTTGTTGAAATTTTTCCATTTTGCTTCTGAGTGAGTTTCATTTAATTCTGAGTGAGTGTGCGTTACTTTGCTTTGAGCAAATTCTTTTATTCATCATTTATCCAGCAATTCATGTAATTTCTTCCCCTTTTTCAGGAGGAAACAGAAACTCTACCAGAAAAGTGAAAGAATATTAAGTTCAGTGTTTACATTTATATTTTTCAATTTTTCCAATTCTCTGCACAAAGTTTTCCCCACATTTGATACAGCTAACCCATGTAGGGTAATCAACTGTGATCCTAGCGATATGCACAGGGCCGCAGCCAGGGTGTTCTGGGGATCGGGACCCCCTTTTTAAAATGTGAAAAAGAAAACATTTCTTTGTATCATACATGACAATTTTTCAAAGCTTGAAACACTCCCTAGACCAGGGGCGGGCAAATTATGGCCCGCGGGCCGGATCCGGCCCACTTGTGTCTGCCGAAATTATGATTATAGTTTGATGGATAATGAAATTCTGTTGAAAAGATTGATTAAAATAATGTCATATTGACCGCGATTGTTACTTTGTGCTTCTTATTATTATGTAAACGTTAGCCTACCTGTTGTAAATAAGCTGTAGTTCCAAATTATTATCCGTGACTGGCCCACTCAGTAAGTGATTTCCCAACCCGGTTTAGACCTTGAAGAATCTTGGAAACCTATGTCTCCATGCTCTTGGCTGGGCCCGTTAGTTTAACTTTGCAATTGGAAATTTCAGACCCCATCCCCTTTGGAAACTCCTGACGCCCCTGAATTACCTGGATGCGGCACCAATTGATTGTTTTGATTGTGAAATTGTAATTCATCACGGGGGTTTGTTGCTTTGATTTTTCATTCCATGGGTGTATTCACATTCAATTTTTGGTACTCCCGAAGTATGTGAACCAATATGGCACACCGGAACGTAGTATGTGTTGCAAGTTTATAATTTTATTCCAATTTTCTTTATTTTAGTTCTATTACTGGTTCTGGTACTAGCCAAGTGACTCCGTAGTATTTGTACCTGAAATTTTGGCCCAACCCTATCCTGGTACACATACTACGTTCCAGTGTCTGCCATCTTGGTTCACTTACTTCTGGAACACCTGTGTTTGAATATTCATTTTGTTTTTAGTGAGACCCAAATAGTGAAATAAAACAGGTTTCAATTCCAAACAACCATCGCATTAAAGTCAAGACTAACGTGCCTCTGTCAAGATTTTGCCAAAATGTTTCAATTTAACCATTTTATAAACTTGTTAAGAGGCAATTAATTTGTTTAGTTGAAATTAATGAAAAGTACAATTGTTTGATATATGAACAAACCATTCGGCAATAATTGATATGTTGGATTTATTGAACTTTTTTGTATATCACTGCGATAATTGAAATTTATTACTTGGCGGCCCACAGTTTGCCGACCACTGAGTTACATATTTGTGTGTTTCACCACAGATTTACTTTTTCACTTTTAATTTGTTTGGTTTTTTGCAATTATTGTTTTCACATTTTTTCATAGTCTTAAGACCCAAACTATACCAAATAATAGCAATTCTTCTCTAGAAGGTTTCTAGAAGGTTTCAGAAACTCTTAGGTAGTTTTCAGCTCAATGTTTTCTAAAATTTTTCATTGAATCTCACCCTTTGCCATTTTGAAACTCAGCATCTGCACTTCTTCAACCTTTATTAGATCCTCAGCTAGTGATATGCTCATAAATCGACACTTCAAAAGTGTACGAACCAAAGCAAATTATCCTGAGGGAAAATGCCCTGTTACGTATACAACGGGAGCATAAATCAGTATTATAGTTACAAGAGAGCTATGCTCAAATATATGGACACGTAGCGCCACCCAATGGCAATAATTTTTATAATGTCATAGCAAAAACAAAAGTAATACCCTTCTGGAGAAAAATTTTATCTTTAACCACTGAAAATTTCAAAGCAATTGGTCCAGTATTCAAAGAGAAAAGCGATTTTTTAAAAATGATGGAGACAAATAACAATAACAACAAAATTTTGAAACGATCAATATGTCCACTAAACGTGTTCAATAATAGAAAACTAAAAAATATTGAAGTTCGTTTGGACGAAAACTTCTAATCACCGCTTGTTTTTTTTTTACCCAAAGATCGAGTTAATTCCTAATTTTTTTGTTGGAGCCATCATTTCGAAATAGGATTCTGGAATACAACCCCTTTCTGGCTGGATTGCAATAAAAAGCAATTACCTATCTTTCAAGCATAACCCACAGTGGTTTGCCTGGTAATGAGGCTCTCAGCAAAATTGTAAAGAATAATTCATGAATTTACTGTCATAATACACTAAATGCATCATCCCAAATTCCTGCATGGCCCAATGGTGCCCAGTTTATCCTACAATAGTGTGCCTTTCCAAAATTAGCTGTTTTTTGTGGGGTAGGGGCATCTATCCTACAGTAATGTCCTATCGTTAAAAACTCTTACTAAAGGTCCTGAGGGGACATGACCCCCATATCTCCCCCCTCTTCCACAAAAAATTTATTTTAAGCGAAAGAACTCTTTGAGGCCACACACAAACAAGAAAATATTAGGAACAATATAGGATTTCAAATATTTACCCCGGAGGAGAGGAAAGCCGATAAGACGGCTCAATCATATGGCGAACAACAGCCTCTCTTCCGGTTATCATACCATGTCGGGTATTGGATTGGATAGTTATTTGTTTTCAGAAGCATGGACTTGATGGTGGGGGAAGCCGTACAGTGCCATTTTTATTTCACTTTTTCTTATTATGTGTGGAAATATATTGTTGCTGATGGTCATTTTTGTGTTTTCTTTTGGTGAAAGTGTGACGGGTTGAGTTGGAGTGCGCTTGGTTATGGTATATTTGTGTAAAAAGGGATTTACAAATATCTTATGAGGGGAATGTCAATAAGACCACTCGATCATATGGCAGACCATGGCATCTCGTCTGGTCGCCAGACCATGTCTGGTGTTGGGTTAGTTGGTCAGTTATTTGCTCCATATGCATGTATTTGGTTGTAGAGTTGCTCCCCGTTTTTCATGGGGAAGGCAAATTTATAAATTCAGTATAAGGGGAAAAATATCTTGGCATTAGTGATAAAACTAGTTGAAAGAAAATAAATTTGTTGTGTATTCGACTGACCACCATTTGGCTATTTATCCGTGCCAAGATTGATAATTATGTTCGCCCCGTGGTACGGTCTTTCTTTGCAATCCACATGTTTTACAAACCTACGTAGAAACTATTCTCTTTACTATACGTCGATCGACGGGCTGTGGGTCGTCATCGGGTCTGTCTTTATACATTCTCAGTAATATTTATCAAAATTTACAATTTTTTAAAATTTACAACCGTGGAAACACAAAGTTCACAAAGAGTAGGAAAATTATCTTACATGAACCTAAAACATATGTTGTTAGAGGGCTTTGCGATTCCGAAAACGTATAATTACACTACCAATCGAAGAAACCAGACGATATTTCGAAAAACTCAATTTGGATAAAGCTGAAAATCACTTCCAAAATACACTGAAATTACTTTTCCACAACGTAAATAAAAGGCGAGATTTCGCGCAAAACGGAGCTGCCTCAGTGTGAGGTAAATGTCATACAGAAGACGACAAAACATTTCCAGACATGTGACCTTTTTTTCAGCCAATCAGACTCAGAGGTTGACGACTCCAATCGCGACTCTGAGTTTAGAACACTGCTCTTGGGCAGATACCGATCGTTGGGGAGTAGCAACATATTCAGTGATTCCCCTACACCCCCTAATTCTCAGGTGTGACACCATACTTCAATTCATAAGTAAATAAAATTGTATTTGAATATTTAGAAAGTGATTCATATACCGGCGAAGATGATCAGTCAGATACATTTTTATAAATTACAAATAGTTTTATCCCGAATATATCTACCACCTCCTAAATGTGAAAATGCCCCCGTCCCCCCTATCGAGATAGAAAGCTGGGAGCATACTGCACCCAAACGTATATATGACATGTATTTTTTTTTTTATGTAGGCGAATGCAGAGAATATGAAACACTTCAAGAACGAAACTAGATATCTAAAGGTGAGTTAAAAATAAGATTAAATTTCCCTTGATATTTAGCAAATTGACAAAAAGGGTACTCCTGAACTATGTGGACCAAGATGGCGGACATCGGGACGTTGTATGTGTACCAGGTTAGGGCATAATTTTATTTCAATTTTCCTTATTTTAGTTTTATTACGAGTTCGGGGACTAGCCAAGTGACTCCTGTCGTTTCTGTAGCTGACATAACCTGGTATACATACTACACGAGTATTTTTTTGAAACGCCTAATAGAACCTCAAGACGCTGTTACGGTGTAACTTGACAATTAGGTATTTCGGACTTCATAACTATATAGCGATATTTTATTATCTTCAATATTTAAAAATGCAGGCTAAGAAAGGGGTGGGCCATGCAGGTGTGACGTAAAATGTTACTTTATTGAATTTCCCAGCAGGCATCAGTTTAAAAATATTTTAACCGGTAAAATCTAGAACAAGCCCTGAGATTAAAAAATAAATAATAGTCCGAAATCGAATGTCTCTAAAGCTTGAGAATGATATATTTGTAGTCTGAGATAGCAGTAATTTGTTATTGACAGAACGTGTTGTTGTGCAGGTGACACGTGACATTGTGTGTGCAGGCTCAACAATCTGCCTGAGTGATGTATACTAGGTTTTCAGTAATTTGTGTGTATGGGGGACCTGATACAATAAGAAAGTTACATACAATTTTCCCAATTATTCGAGATTCGTTTCTGAAATCATCAGGTATTCGAAAATGTCCATCCTTAACCATTACTTGTTTAAACATTGATTCTGAAATTCATAAAGTGAAGACTTACAGTATTCTTTCTTTTTCAGGTTTCCTGAACAAACAAAACAAAGACCCTCGTTCTTCAGATGATTTGCCACTTTATTACATTTCAATTTTCTCCTCCCGTTTGTTATAATGTTAATGTCTTTTTATTTATCGTTTGAATTTCATATTCTGTTGTCAGTACTCATACAAGCTGCCCCTATTACGCAGAGGCCATAACCACTAGATCAGGTGTGGTCAAGATTTTTCGATCAAAGGTCAAAAAATTGCCCACCTGGATTGGCGGGCCATGTTAGTGTGGAGTTACATATTCTGAAAAATATTCAAAAATGTGAAAAACAATAAGCCTCGTGTCAAAATTTAATTTAATCGCAATTTCAACAAATTTATTGAATTATTTCCATCTAAAACATCAAAATTTTATTTTGGTTGTCGCGGCCCAGATTGATTACCCAACGGGCCGGATTTGGCCCGCGAGCCGTAGTTTGCCCATGTCAGCACTAGACCAATCGTTTTGGGGTTTTCATAAATTCCGTGACACCAGGTTCTCACAATTTCCGCGTTTGGGGGGGTGGATATCCCGTTTTTTCCAGTTCTCAATTGACGTCCAATCTATGTAGAATGGCGCCCATGACAAAGTCTAAAATGCGCCCCCTTGATATTTGTTTGACAATTTATAACGACTATTATTGAATTGAGATACCTGTACGTATTATTTGAGTAAAATACGAGTTTTAGTTATCCCCAATTTGAATTTATTTTATTGAAACTTTATATGATTGATATTTTCCACAGTTTTTTGTCCCTGTCACTGGCCATGGTTGCCACACCCAAGACACGCCACTGCATTCTCGCGAAATAGTGATTTCAATTTGCAAATATTTTCATGTCATCACGTGCTCTCTCCGATTATTCTCCACTAACCATTGACCAGCAATGATTTTATCAAATTGATAATATTTTTCATGTTCACGTTTTATTTGAAGTTTGAATTTAAGTCTTGTTATTTAACGTCCCGCCCAATCACCCACCTCTTTAATTTTGTAAACACCCTTCTAAAATAAAAAGCTGGGGAACATGCTGCCTTTCCCCCGAGCATAACTGAAGACAAGCCGTCACTGGTACGTAAGAGCTTTCCAGTAACTACTAAGCCCACTCTCAAACAAAATTCCTGAGTGTATTCGCCGTTATGCCACCACATTTTCCGTTCTTTCATTCCAAACAAGCATAGAAATGTAAAATCCCGGCACGGCAATGTTTCTTCCAAATGTCCACGCCAACAAAACTGATTAATTAATGTTCGTGATATTTTTAGGTACATATTTTTGTCTTTAGTTGTTCGTCATTCAGTCTGTCTTTTGTATGTATTTCATGCCATCTCTTCTAAACTAGATTCGAGATCAGCAGGCTAGGTTCGAGAAATACAAAAGCCCTGGGTTTCTAGTTCGGTATTGCGCCAAATTTAACTGGGGGTGCGCATTTTCGCATACTTGTAGAAGATCTAGTTCCCTCCATTTCCCACTCAATTGAATACATCTTGCGCGTAGCTGCAACTAGAAAATTTCTTGAGCTTTTTTACGTTTGCTCCCAACAAAATCCCAGACAAGCATGACACACCCAAACTGAACAAGTTGCTCACCTTTTTTGCTAAATTCGAGTCCAACAGGCCCTGAAACAGTAATCTTTTGCGTTTTCATATAATATTGTTCCGCTATTTATCTACTTATTTAACATTCTTTATTTTCTGGTTTCCGTTATTGATGTGTCTTCATTTCCCTTTGTAACTGGTAAAGTTCCTCGTAGTTTTCCTTGTTGATGTATGTGTATGTATTTGTCTAAACTTGTGACACGAATCACACGGCAATAAAAATGAGAAGAAAAAAACAAGTGTCTATATAATAATAAGTGGGAAAGAGTCAAAAATATACTAAGTCCAAACCCCTTTGGAAAAAAAATCACCAAAAATGGAAAATTTCAGTAAAAGGTAGAGTCTTCTTTGTACGTTAGTGCTCATTCCAAGTGTATTTATGCGGCGCCGCAGGCGCCGCCGCATCGGGAGGCTCATTCCTAGTGTTTTAACGCGGCGCCTACGGCGCCGCCTCACCTCTAGAACCTTCACCGTTTACAACCTCTTCGGGACTCGAACTTTGGTTCCGAGCGTACATCACAGACGCCTACCCCCCTGAGGTAAGTCCCCTCGTTTACACTCTTAATATGAGTTTAACACTACTATTTTATTTTTTCTTCAATTTTAATTTTTACTAATAAAAGTACGAAGTTGACAGTCCGACAAGCTGGTGTCGAACCCATGTTTCTGGATCAACGCACCATGGGCCTGCCCACTACACCACAGTGAGTGACGCAAGATGTACTTCTAATTTTCTCTTATTAACTTATTTGCTCCATTTGTTTTAATTACTTAAAAAGGTAAGTCTGGGCGGATTGGAACCCATGGCCATCGGATTAGAGAGACACTGTTAAGACCGACTGCTTTACCAACTACGCCAGAGCGGTGAACGAAGGATTGGGCTTTACTTCTAGTACAAGTAATCCAGTCCTGGTAGCTAATTATAAAAAAAAAATAAAGCATCATCCGATAAAAATTGAGACACAAAAGCGATTATTCAGACGCTGATGGTAGGCAGGTAGCGATAGAGTAATGGATTGAGTGTCAGGATTGTAAACTGTATATCTTGTGTTCGAAACTGAGCTTTACCTTGTATAAATGTATATATGTGTGTGTGCTAAAAATGTATATATATATGTATGTTCCCAACTGTGCCTTGTATAAATTGCGTCGTAAAATACTGTGTTATATATAAGCATACACGTGGTAAATAATGTATATATATACGTTCGTAACTGTGAGTATGTCGTAAAAGTAGATAGACGATAGAGATATATATACGTAGGTAAGGTGCCTGTGTCCGCGTCGTAAAATAGTTATAATAAAAATGCTGCTACTAAAATAATAATATAAAATAATATATAATAAACACTACTACACAGATGATGAAAACGACTTTTTTTTTATAAATTTTATTCGCTTATTTATTATATATATAGACCCTAATTTTACTGTTTTCACGAATATGTATCATAGCCAATTAGCCATAACAAAAAAATTGCCGGAGGTTAAGATTTCAATCATTCTCACTTTATGTAGCCGCGCCCGTAACTCTACAAATCATCACTGGAAAGCAGATCTCTGGGGTTCATATTGTTGGCTGCCATTGGCGCTACAATTATCTAAACAGTGGTTTCCCTTCCAACTTTTGTAATCTATTTCCGAATTGGAATAAGTGACACTCAGTTCAACGAGAATAACTTGAAAGCGACACGCACTATGCCCCCAGTTTTTGTATTTCAGTGTTTTTAAATTAAAAGGATGGTAAATATTTAAAACTATTTGTAATTTATAAAAATGTTTTATGTATTTGACTGATCATCTTCACCGACATACAAGCTACTTTCTGAATATCACCACTTATAGGGGTTGTGGAGAAACCACTGGTGACGTGGATTTATTAAAACGGACATAATATAATCACGCTTCTAGATTTCACAATATGACAATCTCGATAGCCAAGATCCATAGGTTGGCAACAGTATACATTTAAGGTACAAAGTATGGATAGTAGTACAAATTAAAGCAAGATGAATGCGTTTTTAGCAAGTTTTCCAATTGGGTACTCTGGTAGTATGTGTACCGATTTAATTTTATTCTGATTTTCCTTATTTTAGTTCTATTAAGAGTTCGGGGACTGTCTGTGTTAGCCAAGTGAATATTTCCCTGCCCATAGGTTTCAGTCCCTTTACACAACTTGGATGTAAAAAAGCTGAATAAAATTAGCAATTCACTTGCCGAACTGATACTTAGATTATGCGAATGTTCGTCTGTTTGATAAATGTAGAGTTAATGCTCGTTTTGGCAGGTAGTCTAACTGTATGTCAGTCAGTAGTTTATTTTATCACATAATCGCGAATATAAGTCCGGTTTCTTTACTACTGCAATAAGAATATACCAGGGCTACTCAACTGGTGGGCCCCGGTCCGAATCCGAATCTTTCGTATTGGAATCAGACCACACCAAAGGTAATTCTTTATTTTGGATCATTAGCCCCAGTTTCCTTTTACAAAATCACTTTTATAGTTTTGAATATATATGAAAAGAACTGTATCGCCATAATAAACAATTTTGATTAGCTAATAATCATTAGCCGGCCGAGGAAGTGAGCGTTTAAATATGCAGAAATAAAATTTTTGGATGACGTCAGTCGGTTGTGTTCTCTCGTGCCGTATTGTCAAACTTTTTACGATTTCTGGTCCAAGTAGATTCTTCTGTGAGCGTCGAGGAGCTGGGCTCGTCAGATCAATTTCTGCTGAAAAAATTGATAATTTTTGGTCAAAGACTGGTTGTTTGAGAGGTGTTACCTATAGACATTGCTTTTGTGGCAGTGGCGGCATGGCAGTTAAGAGTGTCCACCGTGGCTTATTGATGGTGGGACTATATCAGTGGTCGACAAACTTTATGTACTCGCGGGCCAAATATACACATTTCCGCCTTCGACAATCGCCACATTAAACTTCAAATTATGGCGCATTCGTACTTTCTATTGCTACGTTAAAAGCCTGCCACAATGACATGTGTGTGTGGCATTTTTTAATATATCATACGAAAACACATTGTTTTTATGACATACTTGCCTGCGGTACATCGTCCAAATGACTACCTGACAAGCGAGTACGAAATTTATTCGGATTGTAATGCATTTAAAATAAAGCTACTCACAGCAAAGCCCAAATTAGCTCGTGGGCCGCAGTTCGACGACTCCTGGACTATATCATACATTAGGAGCTTGAAATTCTTAGTCTAGAGGATCTCGAAAACCCACGATTACTGGGCCCCGGTCTGAACCTGTTGGCTGTTGCGTTCTAACTTGGCAATTATAAATTTGGCTACGTTCCTGAAAATGACCCACGAAGATCACCCACAAGTACGTGCTTCACTGAGCGGAATTGATGTGATCCACATATAGGGGACCAAGGTCATTTCGGACATATTCGAGAAAGAACGCCATTTTCGAGTGGACCTAACTTTTTTCTGAAACGAGTCTCTTTACTTTGTGTGTGAATGATCCGCCGTAATTCAATGTAGTTAAATTTATTGATCCATAACCATCCATCCAGACAAATATAACTCACCAATTGCAGCTGTATAACAGGTGCTCGTTCAACATCTCCTTCAATCTTGTTTGTATTCTCGATACTTTGGCGTAAAAGGTGAATAAGCCGCTCCAAACTCTAATGAAAAACTTTGGTGTTACCAACTCTTCTTCAATAAATTGTTACAGGGCTGGGCGGTGTGGCACATTGTGCTAAGCGTTAGGTTAGGAATATGCTCACCACCGTACCTCTGATTACCCTGCGTGGGTTCGGATATGGCTATCTGTGAGAGGATTGCTAGACTCCTCGTCGCTGTAGAGTGGTTCACGCAATTACTTAGTCACTTACAGCTAGCTACACCATCGAGTCCATGCTTGCAAAAAAAGAAAATATCTGGCTAACTAATCCCATACCAGACTTGGACAGGTAACCAGACGAGAGGCTGTGACTCGCCTTATGATTAAGCCGTCTTATCAGCTTCCCATTCCCAGGGATATAAATCCTATCCTAAACTAAATTTATAAAAATTCCAACTTTATTTTCACCATTAAAAGTTTTAAACTCTGATTCAGGTTGGCAATCTTGGCAAACTCTCTTTTATTAACATGCAAGACAAATAATCTTGATGGAAATTCTTTGCCTTCCGATCTAGAGTAGGGATGGGCACGGTTTTTGGACAAGGGGCCACAATTTTGCCCATCTCGACTGGCGGGCCATGTAAGTGAGACGTAAATGTTACATTTTATGAAGAATATTAACAGTGCTAAAAAGCAAGAGTGAAAAACAATAAGCCTCGTGCCGAAATTAAATTTAATCGCAATCTCAACTAATTCTTTGAGCTATTTTTCATTTCAAACATCAAAATCTGGCTTTAGTTTGGTTGTGGTAGCTTCAGACGGGCGAGACTGTATCATCTAGCGGGCCGGATATGGCCCACAGGCCGTACTTTGCCCATGTCTGATCTAGTGGCCCAAATTGGACGACAAAGACTTCAGTTGTTGCCAAAACTTTAATCGCACTCTAAATACGCGACCGTACTTATTTGCGGATTACCTTAGTCAAATATTATTCATCAAAATTCTATCACAGGACCTTATTCAGCTTCTGCTGCGATCATGCGTGGATTCATGGTATGCCTTCAATATAAATGAAATGTTTTATTTAGACAAGTCCAGTTCAAGCATAGTTTTTCAGTAAAATCAATCAGATACGATGTACCCATGGGGTTTAAAGGCCTTACGTTTTAGAAATGTGAAATTCAGTGTCATGCATAGCAATTTTCCGTAGCTTAAAACTCTTGTCTAACTTGGCAATTAGAAATTTCAGATTCCCCACTTCCTTGGCCATGCATATAGTTCTACTGAGAAGGTATGGAGATTCGCTGAAACTGTTTCTTTTAAGGCAATATTTAGTTCCTAATGTGAAACTGAAAGTCATTTGTCTTGGTTATATGTTAAGCTCTACGCCCAAGCTATTATAGAATAAGGATTCAACCGAATCCGCTTACACTCCTTTGTTACACCAGCATAACACACAACATAAGATGACTAGCGAGTGACGCAACTGCGACACGTTAGCACTAGACAGATAGCACAATCAATTATTAGGGACGTTACTCGACAAGGCATTATTAGCCATCATCAACATCGGGGATTCCACAAGGGCTGTAGGACTGTTCGAAATCACAATGGTTACAACCATACTCACCAAGGTTTGTATGTGTGACTACTGTCATAAAACATTAGCCTGAATACAGTTTCATGGAAGTGGGACTCAAAACTATGATATATGTTTTTCAATTTTAATTATATAAATTCAACTTTAAATTTATATTATGTTACAAATTTGTAATAATTTACAAGACAGATTTATCCAAAGATACGAAGCGAGCCAAACCATTAGAATGGAATAACTCGTACTCATACATCTAGTAAGTGTCAGTGTAGAACTAAAATAAGGAAAATTGGAATAATAACTAGCCTGGTACAAGTTCCGGTGTCCGCCATCTTGGTTCACATACTTCGGGGGTATCCATTTAAGTATGTTGAGACGTCTAGTAACTATCATTCATGCAAAGTTCTGATAAAAATATAAAACAAGAAACAAATGACCCAAACCTGTTCGTGTCAATGCAACCATCATAAGATTTCTTTCATTCTCAAGTTCAACCACAGTATCTTGTAGTTTTAACGGCTCAGATCCTGCATATGACTTTGTTAAATTGATGCACTTGGTGGATTTTCTTGTATTGTCATCTGACCTGATTGATATATCGAAAAAGTTTATGACGGATTCCTGTCTTCATAGGAATAAATTATCAAGTCAAGTTTATTTTTCTAACCAGTAAAATCAACAACAATCGAAAACAAATTACGAGAAAATAATAATTAAACATTTTTAACTTGGGAAGAAAAGTCGCAGGGAAATCAAAACTGGTTATCAAGCAGTGACACCCAGGGTTCAAATATTTAATTTGAGAATGATCGAAATTTTAGAGTTTGGAATCTATCGATGAGAGCAATAAGATAATTTGAAGAGCAATATTTACAAAATACGTCTCTCCAGCCAAAACAAAATGTTGGCAGAACTACGCTCTTAATGACTTTTCTTTATTTGAAGAACATTGGATTGGATGACTTAATCATAGAATATCAGGTCTGGAATCGGTTAATTGTACCAGGTGGTTCCTCGTATTCCGGGAGAGACAAACAAAGAAATGCATTTAAACCAGGGGTGGGCAATTACTTCCCTGAGTGGGTTGGTTTCAGATAATTGCTTACTGGGCCGTATGCTATGAAACTATAAATAAAAAACAATTAAGAAAATAGCGTAACAGCTAATGTACAATAAACATCTATTGTACCAAATGGCACAATGTTGAATAGGACCGATGTAGCCTAATGCACGTCCAAAACATTGTTTAAAATCAGGCTAGAATGGAGGGCATAGGTGGTTCCTCATATTCCGAAAGGAATAAAAGTCATTGATCCAACAAACGATGCATTTAAACAGTCTTAGAAATCCAACAATCAGGTCCTGGTTGAAAATAATTTCGATAATGAAAAAATGTGCACAGACTATATTAAGCAGTGGTTCCCAATCGTTTATGGCTTGTGGGACTCATGCGGAGGCATTTGGACCTCATGCCCTTCTGTTTATTAATTAAAAAATCAATAATATACTCAATTCTATTATGCACTCATTTATCGCTATTTATGGTTCATAAATATGGCTACTGGTGTTATATATACAGCCAGTCAGTCACAGGGTTGTCCAAAACGAATCGAATATTCGAATATATTCGAATATCATAGTATTCGAATACCTTTTCGGCTGATTTTCGAATAATTTCGAATAGTAGCCACTTTTCGCCGTAAACGTGGTGTTTCGTTTTACGGGAATCTTCAAACGACTTTTTACGCTGTCTCACGTATTGTAATGACGATGAAATAGAATCGGCACTTTGATTGTTTATATTCTGTGCGATCGTACGTCGCATAGTGTTGCGACACATTTGCACGTTTGCGTGGGTGGACATTGCCGACATTCGTCTACGAGGCTTTTAATTTAAAAAAATTCATTTCCATCACGTCGAAAAATTGACAATTACCGCTTTTCTAGGCCCAATTTTTCTGCCTGATTTTTTTTTTGGGGGGCGTCTAATTGAGAAATTATGTTTATTTTATTTCTATGTGGCCTGCTTATTAGTCCTCTCAAGCATGATTTGTGTAACCTTATATTTGGGTCTTATGGTCTGCCAATCATGATATTTAATCGAGTGAAAGTGATTTGTGACCCTTTCGTTTTGCCGATTCAGCAGAACACGACAGGGACAGGAAAACACAGCTGTGAAATAACCCGTGGACGTACAGTGTAGTACTTATCACATTCCAAAATTATTTTAACATTCGGGTTGATAGGTTGTCTAAAATGATTGCCGCTTTACAACTCAAATTTACCGCTCAATTGTTAAAAATAGTTAATTCTGTGAGTATGATTCTACCAAACTAACATGATCTGGTTCTAAACATATAAAATTATTAGCGCATATCACAGGGACACAATTTTCTACCAGTCTTATTGGAGGCCTATATGGAAAAAAAACTTTTTTGAGCGCTAAAAATAGACATCGTCCTATTTGCCATGTGGACTTATCAGCCGGGAAATACGGTATTTATAGCCGTCATTGTTACGATATCCAATAAATTGGCACAAGTTGGAAAAACAAGTTGATTTATTAGAAAATAATTTCTGGCAAATAATTTTGATAACGATAGTTAAAAGTATCGATCCTTTACCAGGATGATTTTTTGTTGTGCAAAATAATCCAATCCATGACTGGTACCAGCAATTAAAATGTCATGTCGTATTAATTTAATTCCGTTCAACGTAACTCATTGTTGTATGGACAATCTGTGGACATAAAATGTGTGGTAAACTGACCGATATTATTAAATATTGATTCCTATTTTCATATTGAGAAAATAATGAAAGTATTAATACCAAATACCACGGGTATTTGTGGACATGAAATACGTGGTAAACTGCCCAATTATATTTAATTTTGGATTCGTATTTACAAAATAATAAAACTATTATAATTCTAAAATGCAACGGCGATCTGTGGCCTTAAAATGTGTGGTAAACTGTCCGATTTACCAACATTTGAGTTATGATAATAGAACTAAATTAACACGGTAAGGCATTTTAAATAGTGGTATCTGTCATGGATTCGAATATTTTACGCAGCACAAAATCATCCTAGTAAAAAGTCCATACTTTTAAATACAAATCAATGGCAACCATTATCCAAATTAGTTCCCAAAAAGCGGGATAAAGTATAAATTCTTTCTCCGACTTGTGACAATTTTTTCGTGATTACGAAAATAAGAATCAAAAACTAATTATATTCGGCACAATATCACGGCAATCTGTGGACATAAATTGTGTGGCAAACCTCGCGATTAATATTAATTTTTGATTCCTATTTTTGTATTTACAAAATACAACGGCGATCTTTGGACTTAGAAAAGTCGGAAAAATAACTCATACTTTATCCCGCTTTTTGGCAAATAATTTGGATAATGGTTGATATTTAAAAGTATGGGCGTTTTACTAGGATGATTTTGTGTTGCGCAAATATTCAAATCCATCACCGATACCACTATTGCCGTATTAATTTAATTCTGTTAACATGACTCAAGGTATATAAAATATATACTGCAATAATCTGCAAATATGAAATGCCTGGTAATATAACTAGGTTGTAACTTGTAGATAGCAGTTATTCCATTGCTTATTGTATGGAAATTCCTACATACATTTAGATAAGCTTCAATTAGTGAATTTTATTTTCGAAGTATTCGAAATTTCATATTCAAAAAAAATAATTTCGAATGTATTCGAAATAGTGAACTATTCGGTATTGGCCATCCCTGGTCAGTCACACAAGCATTAGAATTCAGAGCACAGATGTATTTACTGTGTTAATTTGATTGATAGATGCTGAATTTTAGTACAAACAAACAATTCACACGTAAGAAAATGCTCTGGGACTAGAAATAGCCTACAGAAAGCCGGCAATTCAGTTTTATCTTGAAGGGAAAAGTATGCATACGCAATCACAGTAATATCAATTCAGCACCTAGTATTGAGGCCCCCTCAGGAGACCACAGCCTCCCAGTTAGAAACCACTGCAGTATTGAGAACATCTTAGTTTTAGAAGGAAGCTAAGACTTACTATTTTGATGATTCAAGGGTTCGTCTGTGAGGAGCTACGTGTTCAATTAAAACAACTCAGACCCTACAACCAGGATTGATGAAACCTTTGCAATTTTCGTGAATCCTGCATCGTACTGTGTATACCTACAACATAGTAAGAATCAGAAACTTGAAAAATTGAAACTTAGATGTGTTTTTTTGCCCCGTGTAATAGGTAGTCGTTTGAAATTTCTGGTAGGAAACGAATTCATGGCTTAGATGCCGATGGTACATCCGATCCAATTTCACCAAAGCGAAATTCGATGAACATCGTCAAAAATTTCAGTAAATCCGCATCATATTCAGTTTTATTACAGCCCCAGCTCTGTTTAAAAGATCCCTATCCATTAACTTGGATATATAGCCACGCCATGCAGTGATAGTTAGGTGCAAAAGGATTGCCAGACTCCTTGCCGTAGGATTGTTCACGAAACCGCTGGTCGGTCACGGTTTCCTCCACCATCAAGTCCATGCATCTGAAACAAATAACTGGCTTACTATATCTCATACCCATCATGGACTGGTAATCGAATCAGATGCCATGGTATGACATATGATTTAGCCGTATTACCGACTTTCCTCTTCCTGGAATATGGAAATCTTACTACTAACCATTGAAATTTCATTGAATCTTGCAACATAGTTCCATTCGATCTTAACAATTCAATTTCAAATTACCTGGATATTTAATTTTAAAGATAAATAGCTATTAAGAAAGTGAGATTATAGAATAACTTGAAAAAGGCAAATGTTAGCTTGTACGGGAAACAAAAATAATAAAAGAAATATTCAATTATAAAATAAAATATTGTTAAAAAATGTCCAGTTGGTGCAATCATGGGTCAGGTAAAAGGTATCTTGAGAAAAGCAGGAATCACGACTAGATGCTGAAAAAAAAACATTCACAAAAACAAGACTTCAGTTAACATATATAATATATGGTACAAACATATCAAAAGTAAAATAGGACGAGTAAAAAAGAACGAGATAAGAGAATGAACAAAAAAATGAAATAGAAAAGAAATATTTACAGATATAACTTAATGTTTTCCCGACCTTTGAACCACAGAATTTACCATTACAAAATTTGTCGTACAAAAGTGTCTGAACGTCTTTTGTTACCACACTCTCTCCATCTTGCTGATTGGCTAATGTTACGAAGCTAAACTAAGAAGTCAATGGCACGGCGGTGTGGCTCACTGTGCTAAGCATTAGGAATACGCTTACCACCACACCTCTAATTACTCTGCAGGAGTTCGCAGGTTCGAATCCCATGCAGGGATGGTTATGTGCGAGAGGATTGTTGGATTCCACTGTAGGTTGGTTCATGTAACCGCTGGTCGGTTACGGCTTCCTCCACCATCAAATTCACACTTCCAAAAACAAATAACTACGGTAACTAATCCCATACCCGACATGGAATGGTAACCAGATGAGAGGCCGTGGTTCGCCATATGGTTAAGCCTTTCAAAACGGGACAAATATATAAATCATATCCTGTGCTTGAGGAGACACCCACTATTCATATCACCTTTATACAGTTAGCATGACACAGTTTCAAATATCTTGACAGCATCTGGTCATTACCCTGGCTCCCCACTCCCACAGTTCCTTCCTTAAACAATTCCATGTGCCCGCTAGTACGAGCGAATACTACTTTGCTTGGCATAACAGAGCAATTAATCTTGTTGCAAAGAGAGATCAGATAATTGAGAGCGAATGATCTTTCCTCTTTCAAGTGTTGTAGGTTTGGGAAATTCATGATTAAATTATTGGAATCATGTAAAAGAGAGTTGTACTCAAGAACAGATGACCCATAAGTCTTGAGTAGGTTTAAAAATTCTCTTTTAGATTCAGTGGGCGCATTAATAAATTGAAAAAATCTTCCACTATCATCGAAATACAGTAATATTCGCCCGGTATTGTCATCGACTAAGCACTTTGCGTTAAATAATTTGGTAGTCTCAGTAACTCTGATTGTTACTTTCAAAATAGTTCGCGGCGAAACTTCCAGTTTTACAACATCTGTTACACAATTCTGTAAGTACAGATCAAAGAGTAGACTGACTTGTATTTCATCGAAATCCAAAGTTTCAACACTATTACTTGGAAGTTCAGTTTTCTCAATTTCGAATAAATTTGTGTACGCACCAGTGCATTTGGACTGCTTTCCTGATTCAGTGCTTGGAATGCTTTCGATAACTATAGAAGATAAAGAGTCGAATTTTCCATAAACGTTGCCTTTGTGTGAAGAGGTCACTTTGATGTTTCGAAAAATCGCAGAACAACCAGGAAGTAATCCAGGAAGAAAGGTCAAACCAGTAACTTTACCCATGTATACACAAAGGTCATTTTCTAAACTAATTCGTAAACGTAAGCTGCAATTTTCCATGTAATATTTTTTAACTTTTATAAGTCCCTTCACACAAACTCTGGAATCAGTGGGCTTCAAACGAATGTCCGATGTTGTATAAACATTTTTTAGCAATCTTGCAAAAGCTGAATTTTTCCACTTTTCTTTAACACTTTGTAAGATGAATTCGGTTAACTCATTTGAACGATCATAATGCTTTATTCCATGATGGTTGTTGATAAATACAACCCCAGATGAATTGGGCGAAATCTCTGAAGCAGAGACTATTTTAAGAATCATTCCATGGTGAAGAAATGATCTCAACTTCACAAGATTCCGAAAGTGTAATTTAACTTGTGGAAAATTGCTTTCTTTATCAGTTAAATTAATCAAAAACCCATTGCAGTTAAAACTCGAATGTTCCATATAGTTAATGTTTGTAAGAAGAACATATATCACAAAACTTGCATGCTGTTTTGAAGGTGGTTCAAGTAGATCTTTGTGGTTCATAATTTGATCGGAGCATCCTAGTTTTCGATGTTGATTAACCAAGATACCTGTTGGCCTGTGTAGAACGTCGACATCGGAATCAGAGAAGGCAATACATATTATTTCCGATCTTTTCTCATGATTGAAGATTTCTGATGTGCTGGGAATGTCCTCAGAGCAAGTCACGAAAGTTGGTGACTCCTGCGCTTCCAATGACTCCACAATTACAATGAATTTCGTTATCCTTACCAGGCAGTCCATGTCATCAAGGCACGGCAGATATGAATTAGAATCGCTTGACTTTAGTAACAGACAGTCTATAGAACCTTTTGAATCGGAAAGCTGAAGATTACCGGATTTTACGTTACCACTTAACAAACCCATTAGAATCAAGTTATCCCTCCAACACGATGTTTTGTAAGATCTCAAATCTTCACAATCAAAAACATTAAAGCAATAAAAATCATCTTGTGAATTCATACTATTCGAAAATTTGAACAATATTCTTTCCTTTAAATCATTTATTGATGTCAACGAAAATGTCGATTTTGACATTTCAATCATTCTTTGAACAAGACAAGAATGAGGAGTTTTCAAGCATTCAACGAAAGGCAACCTGTCTGTGGTAAAATCAGTTAGATTCGATAATGCATCTCTGAAAAGCAACCATGGCAAAATAGAAAAGTATTCATTGTCTAACGGCAAACCCATTAATGCTTTTGCAGATAGAAACGGGAAGAGTACGATCAGGTTTTCAATCAATTCTAGCAGATAGAAAGTGCAAATTGGGTTTTGAAGAAATCGGCTGTTTACAAGATATTTCTGTATAAACCTGTTCCGACTAACATACAAAGGTTGCCATGTAGAAACCACAGAATCAGAATGTTTGATAACGATAATGTTACTTCGTGCACAGCAGATTAAATGAGTTGAATTATTTCGATCAACGTAAGCATAATGGGCCTTTGTCACAAGGATGGAAGCACCAGGACACAATGCATAGCCAAGGTCTTCACATATTAAATATGTGCAATGCAAAATGACAGCACCAGAGTCCAATGAAAAGATGCCGAGCTCAGGACTTAGCAAGGTTGAGATTTTACCGTAATATGCTGGGCAAGCTATATCATCAAGGCGATCAGTGTCATCAGACTGCAAAGACGCGATCTCTAGAAACCTCCAAAACAAACTTTTTGCAAGTGGTGTATCTGAGGGTATATTCAATAAAGGATGATCTTGAATTATCATTTCAGAATCCGACAATGGCATTAGGACTTTAAAGCGCTCCCCGCTGTTCAGTAAATCACAGGACTTTAACCTTGAAATTGTGACCTTGGAACCACGCATAACACATAAAACCCAGTGAGAGAAATTGTTTTCGGTGACTAAAACGTTCCTTATTTTTGCGTCCAACTGCACAATAGTGATTACGTAATACAAACCCTTCAGTCTCAGACAAGATGAAACATTCGAGACAAAACCAGATATACTGATGCCAGAGATGGCTGTGACAGTTTTATTAACATTTTCGATTTTCTGATAAAGTACAACAGGTTTTGATAAAACTTCAATACAACAAGGAAGATACTCAAAGTCATCAACAACTCGCACCCTCCATTTTTCAATCAGCACTACAGAACCTGGGTAACAGGGCTCGGGTTGTACCATATGACAAAGTGCTCGGCCCCCGGCATCGCAAATATAAAAAGCATTCTTCACTCTGCCAGATGCTGATAAGACACCAATCACAAATGGTTTTTCAACTTCTGATTTATTCTTGTCCATACAATTTAAATGGTCGAGTACTCCATCTGATTGCTCTGGTTTTGAAAAACCAGTTTCCAATTTTGAGATTTCAATTGGATTTGACAATTTCGAGTCCTTACTGTTTTTGATGTGTTTCATCAAGTTGCAGGCAATTTCGCAGGTAGAATCATTTTTACGCTCCAAATTAGGAGAAATGAAACGATCGATGTGTATATAGAGTTTCTTGGCCCATGATCGTGTTACTGGATTTTCCCGCAAGTCAGAATCCAAATATTCGTTGTTGTTTAGAAATTCAGCGAGTGACATTAACGATAGCTGGCTAGTACAATTTATATACTGGTGATACAAGAAAAATAAAGGAAACAATTTGATTCTACATTTATATCAGATTTTGCATAGCATTTTCATATTCACAAACTTTCTTGGGGAAAAGAGCTGATTAGGTTGGCTTCATAATACATATTATCATATATGGGAATGGTTAGGAAGTATTCGTTGCAGATGCTTGAACTTAATGAAGACGGAAATCTGGCATCCCACCAGCAGCTACGTCAGTACAACACACTATCCAAATTCCAAGAATTTCCCTCCATTTGGCTCAATAAAACAAACACTCTATGTGTCTCACAAACGAGGGGCGTCTGGGACCACGTCAGATGCCTCAATAATAATCTGAATTAATCGCGGCCGTCACATGATCAAATTGTCGTTATTTGCTAAAAACTCTCGAATGTTACGGTAAAAGTTTTTTCCATCAGTAAATCGGATTATTTTTTCCCAAGGAATTCAATGATGACGATACTAGATTGCGCTTTTTTGTAGTATTTTGCGCAACTTCATTGTATTATTACCGATATTGAGGGACAACAATGTCCAGACCCCTCCCAAAGGAGGGGTGTCTGATCATCTGTAAAATGGGTTTCTCTCAAAGGGACAATGTTACCCGATTTGTATTGTGTGCCGTACTGTACGAGAACCCCCCGTACAATTACATTATCTAATCAGGCTGCACGAAGCTCGAAACCGTGGGTTTGCATGTTCGAAGCTGTGGGGAATAATCATGTACAGGAGGAATGCTGGTAGGTTATGGCTTCCTCCACCATCAAAACCATGCATTTCAAAACAAATAACTGGCTCGGCGGTAAGGCGCATTGTGCTAAGCGTTAGGAATACGCTCGCTACCGCATCTCTGATCACCCTTCGTGGGATCGCAGGTTTGAATCCCACGCGGGGATGATCATGTGCGAGAGGATTGCTGGACTCCTCGCTGCCGCTGGTCGGTCACGGCTTCCTCCACCATCAGGTCCATGCTTCCGAAAACAAATAACTGGCTAACTAATCCCATATGCCAGGGGTGGGCACAATTTTTTAGCATAAGAGCCGCATGCTGCAAGTCAGAACTTTAAAAGAGCCGCAGAATTTGTGAATTTATTAATATTATCGAAATACCATGAACAGAAAAGAAATTCACACTCATTTAATTTGTGCTCCTTATAGCTGATTTACGAGGGTAGCCTCGTAAGAGGTTTTCATGATTCGTTTCATAGTGTCGTTTAACATAGCTGACTTTATTCTGACTCAGTAGCTTATGACAGATTAAGCACAAAGGTTTATTATCCTGACTGGTAAATGCGTATTCTTCTTCCCATTCTGACTTGACAACTCTGTTTTCATCTTCGTACTTTCGTTTTTTAATTGAGGACATATCGCACAGTAACTTAGATAGACTAACTAACCGCAACTAAGCTGCAATACCGTCGACGCATCAATAAATATTGACCATTCTAACGAAAGATTTGCTGACTTGACTGACTTAAATTCAAAATTACATAATTTTCATACTAAAACATAATTTGTCCTAATCATTGACGAAAACTTCTTTACGACTTTTAATAAATTAAAAAAGTTTACATTAAAGTTTAGTAAAAAATTAGTTAAAATTTGGATAATAATTTATGTTAGCGAGAAGAGCCGGACAAAAAGTCTGGCGAGCCGCGGTGTGCCCACCCCTGCCATATGCCATACCCGACATGGAATGGTAACTGGAAGAGAGGCCGTGGTTCGCCATATGATTAAGCCGTCTTATCGTTCTTCCTCTCCCCCAGGATAGTCATGTAAATCTTATCCTAACTAATCCGATATCTAACATTGAATATTAAACGGACAAGCTGATTCACGCTGTCTTATCTGTTTTCCTTTTTTCCGAGATAAATATGCAAATCCTATCCTGTCAGCCTGTACAGTACAGCACACTATCCAAATTCCAAGAATTTCCCTCCATTTCCGCTTAATAAAACAAACACTCTATGTGTCTCACAAACGAGGGGCGTCTGGGACCACGTCAGTTGCTTCATATCGTGCCATGCTTGTTTCAATAAAAATCTAAATTAATCGAGGCCGTCACATGACCAAAATTGCCGTTTTTTGCTAAAAACTCTCGAATGCTACGGTAGAATTTTTTTTCCTTCGGTAAATCGGATTATTTTTTCCCAAGGAATTCAATGATGACGTTACTAGAGTGCGCTTCTTTGTAGTATTTTGCGCAACTTCATTATACTGCATTATTACCGATATTGAGGGACAACAATGTCCTGACGTCTCCCAAAGAAGGGGTGTCTGATCATCTGTAAAATGGGTAAATGGAAATATCGGGTCTCGTGTAGCTTCGTACCTAACATACTTCTAGTGAGCGTATCGCAATAATTTTTTGACATATCAATCCTAACCCTCACCTGACTATGCCATCCAAAAATTATGTCAGGTGAAAAATTGTTATGCTACGCCCATTAGAAATGGATTAGGTACGAAACTACATGAGACCCGGAATATCCACTGATGACAAAGACTCAATGGTTATCTGCAATTATTTATAAACTTTGAAAGATTACGGTATCTCTCCATTTATTTGCAAAATCAAAATACACATGCACAAAACAAATACTAACGCGAAGAATCTGAGAATCGAAGTGCTGAAGTGAACAAAACCTAAAAATGTTTAAAACATATTACACATGTTCAGTCACCCAGGAAAGAAGTAAGTCAGAAACCTAGACAAATGAACGTAAATATTGAACCTTTCTTCTTGATGTTTTTTTTTTTTTTTGCCAATTGATCGAATTAATAGTTGATTAGTTCCCATCCAAATTTGATTTGATCCCATTCCCAGAAATAAACATTTGCATAGAAAAATAATAAAGGCAAAAAAATTATACATCCACAATGATAAAAAAATAAATAAATACAAACACAAACATATTATCCAATACCCATTTTTAAATCGTTAGTCCAATTTTGATATTCCAGTTCGATTTCGATATTCCAAGTTATGTTGTCCATCGCAAGTCATTTTCCATGTTGTGATTTGTAGAACACCATTTAAAGATTAGATTTATTTTATGGATTAGGCATACAGGCATGTGTAAACAAAACATTTTAAAATTAATACACATAATACTCTACTCAGATATGCACTGAAATGACACTGCCCCAATGCATGCCAATACCTACATCGGAACAGACACATCTCCCTGCATGTCTGAGCTTTCAATAATCACAGTTATGGGGTTTTGCACTATTAAATTTGTCTAATTTCACAGCATAACAGATTTATGATTATGATTATTATGATTATTTCTTCTTGATGTCACTTACTTCTGTTCGGCTCATTCTACACATCTGTCACGCTAGCGAAATCCTGCTGCTCAAAAATACGATGTCATAAAAAGTGTTTCATTATGAAATTTATGAATAGAAAATAACTTAATTGGACTGAACAAATTAGGTCTAAAATTTCGTTAGGGTTAGAGTTTCCGTGGCTATTGATTAGAAATACTTCGCAAAGTGGGAACACACTTTTATGACATCGTATATTTTTATGTAGGATTTCGCTAGCATTTCGCTGACGTTACAGTGGCCATTCTCCTGTCTGCCTGTTGAGAGAGAGAGAGAGAGATTTATTGATTCGTCAATCAAACAAATATAAATATGAAAGCATAAATACAAATAAATAAACACTGGTTATGGTAAAGACTGTTGTTGAATCACATTATTTCTCAGTTGAAATTCATGGAAACTACAATGAAATGAATTAATATTATTATGGAGAAAACGGACCTTCATAGCTTCACCGTTTTTTTAACCAATTTGCCGTACCGTTCTGTTCCTGTTTCCGGGAAAAAGATGTAAATCCACCGCTGTTCAAGTGACTCGCACGGTGACCTTTGTGTGCGACCCAGCGAAAAATTTAAATATTATGGCAGAATTGTAGGCGGAGCTAAATTCCTATACGCAATGTACTGGAATATGTATATTAGAAAAGAAAAAAAATAAAGATATATTTGTTATTTCTGCAACTTGAAATAATAAAAGCGTGCAAAAAAAAATTTAAAGACGAATCATCGAACAACATCAAATAAATATGAGGTAACAACAACATCAATACATCACGAGTAATTACTTTAAAGAGAGATTCCCCAAAATACGATAACAGAAATCCCGCGCAAGTTAAACTAAACTTTATTGACATTTATTTACACAAAAAGAATACAAACTTTTTCAACAGAAAAGCATATGAAAACAGAGCGTATATTAAAATCATTAGGTATTACACTTTTCAAACGTTGTTAGCATGTCTTTTCCGCCAAAGAGGGACGCGATACTATTGTTTCACTAAAATAGAGTTTCTACACTTACACTATAAATTTTGATTCGATGGGTATAAAATTTTGTATTCATGCGTAATTTATTACTGAAAATGGACTATGTCGCATATATCGGTATGAGTGAAAAAATAAAAATGTACACTTTTCTAACCTTAGTCAAATGTCCTCCGCTCAAGAAGGGCGAGATTTTATTGTTTGATAATAAAAAGGTTATAATCTACACAATACACCTTGATTCGATGGGTACAAAATTTTGAAATCATGCGTGATCCATTGCTGAAAAGAGCCTATTTCTCCTATATCGGCACAGCTGAAATATCGTAAAGATATACAATTTCCGAACCGTAGTCACATGTATTTTCGCCAAAGAGGGGAAAGACTTTATTATTTGATATTGACAAGGTTCTCAAACTCTACACAATACAATTTGAGTCGCTGGGTACAAAATTTTAAAATTATCTGCAATCCATTGCTGAAAAGAGCCTTTTTTTCCTACATCGGCACAGCTGAAAAATCGTAAAAATATACAATTTCCAAACCTTAGTCACATGACTTCTCGACCAAGAGGGGCGAGATTCTATTATTCGATAAGGTTCTTGAACTCTACGTCTACACAATACAATTTGAGTCGAAGGATATAAAATTTTAAAATCATGCGTAATCCATTGCTGTTTCCATTGCCTATTTCCCATATATCGTCCCATATATTGAGTTTCATTGTTGTAACAAAATGTTATTGGACTTTGGTTGACTCCAGATTTGGAATGATATGAGTCAACATTGTAAAGTAGCTATAGGTGGGAATTTCACAAAGTGGAAGATTTTCATGCATTTTAAGTAAAAAATTAGTTTGTTCGCATGCGGGGATAGTTATGTGCGAGAGGATTGCTGGACTCCTCGCCGCCGTAGGGTGGTTACGGCTTCCCTACCTACCATCAAGTTCACGCTTCCAAAAACAAATAACTGGCTAACTAGTCCTATAATAACCGTACGAGAGGCCGTGGTTCGCCATATGAGCCGTTTCATCTGCTTTCCGCTCCGAAATAAATATGTAAAATCAAATCATTGAGCATAACCGCTATAAATTATAATTGAATAATTCACAAGTGTGATCCGAGATTCTGCTGCTTCCGAAAATCATTAAAACTGCAGGACTCTGCTACACAAAAGGATCTTAAAAATTTTTTTACCCACGATTTTGTACTTGAGGGTAATAGGATGCGAGGACGAATCATTTTCTATTTCAAAATCTTAATTCCCGGTGATTATGATAATTTCTAATAACAATAATCTCTCCAATTGATATTAGTTGGCTAATTGGCAAACTTCATATGATATTTATCATTAATATTGAAACTCTTCTTCCCACTCTGGCGAAATATAAGTTTGAACCTTGGGTGTCGCTGCTCGATGATCAATTTGGTTCCACGCGGCTTTCCTTCCCAGTAATGTGAATATAATTTTTTCCTCTTACTTTTTGCATGATTTTTGTCTTTAGTTATCGATCTCGATAAGTATGTATTTGTTTGTTGGACACTTTCTTATTTTACGCGATATCTTCACGAGAGCGAGGTTGAATCTGCTCCAAATTTTGCATGTGCATTCATCATATCTAGTCTATTGATTTTGGATGAATTATGTCGTAAAATTAGCGAGGAACGATCGATAAGTCGGCGGTCTCCGATCGCTATCTAGTTTACAGTTTGGAAAAAATAAACTTGACTTATCTTAATCTTTACCCAGACTGCACAATCCGTTTTGCATATTGCCAAGAATTAATCGAGAATGCCGTAGAGGTTAGTTTTGTCCAGTACCTCTCCTTGTATTCAGCTTAGTACAAATATATATTTATAACTAAAAAATCCAAACACCAGCGAGTAATACAATCATGATTCCGTAGGTTTCCAAGTCAAGTAAAAATGATATTGATTGACAGCAATTTTCTCACCTAAACGAATATTCACGCGCAAAGGCTGAGCAAAACATCACTCAGTGAAGAAAACAAAACATTGACAACAAAATAGTGTATTTTGTGCATTATTCTTAAGTGCATTGTGATTGAATAATACTTGATATATTTCATCATATGAGGTTAATCCATAGTGACATCACAACTTGGTACTATTCCTACTGTTCCTGATAATCTTGCCAGTGAAGCGACCTTGGAATTATCTGAAATAAATATCAAGGTCATACAAAAGCAAATTTTTTTAATTGACTTTCCTCTCTGCATTTGAATTAGTGGATCTGTATGCATTTACTGTAAGAATGCTTTAGTGCGGTGGTTGGATTCAAATTTTTTGTCAGCCGGTTTCTTCATAAAAGTCATATTTTTGAGCCGGTTCCGTTTCAAACAGAACATTGCCAGTGACCAGTAATGCAAACCGGTTCACTGATTTCATGAAATTCTGTGAGACGGTTCTATAGAACCGGCTGAATCCCACCCCTACGTTAGCGAGAATCAAACAAGTGGTTTTAGAATTAATAGAGCATTTTAAATGTCACACATCAGACTTTCACAAATATCATATTTCATAATGTCTCGTTGCTATAAACTGACTATTGTGCATATCACCGTTGTGCCGTACATTCTGTCTTGTATATTGTACTTGTACAAGAGTTTTATTTGTATATTTCATGTCTGTTGCCCAACTATAACGCAGCAGTCCTAAACTGCTTTTATACTTTTTGAGGTGCATGACGCACATCTGTGTCTTAGGCCAGTAAGGTCTTACTCTTGAACATGTACCTCGTCTCTGTCATACTGTTTAACTATTATGCAGATACTGTTAAATTTTTGAGGCAAATAAACATACATACATATAAATAAACCGGCCACACAAGTTGCAAAATAGCATTCAATATCAGTGGATACTTACGTTTAACTAATGACCTTGTATCGCTTCTCACAAGGTCAAGTCCCAGCCCATGGTCTCGTGGTATGACAAGTAGAATCGCAAATTTACTTTTGACCAAATGAATCTGAGAAGATAAAAGTGTTTGTACAATTTTGCTTATGGCCCGCCTTCCAGGGGAATTTAGCACTGATATGACCCCGTTGATCAATCGAAAAATGCAAGAATTGCGCTCTAAGAATAGACAATCTTGATTTACTTTGGCAAAATGATAAAATTTCGATATTTATCAGAAGGAAAAGGCCAACAAAACAATCATTTTTGTTTCCCTGGACTGATTATGAAGATCTTATACTGAAAATTCTAAGAATCAAACTATTTCGCCAACCATGGTAGCTACCTCAACTAAAAATATAAAGTTCTATATTTCTATGCTTTGATTCGAATCACTTCCACTCTGGACTTATGATTGTCGTGGTTCGCCATGTGAATAAATCGTCTTATCAACTTTCCTTTCTTTCATGATGGATATAAAAAAAATCTTAGTTTTTCAACCCACCGTGTCATGTTCAGGCATCAACAGTGCTGGGGATTCTATTGTCTCTCCTGTCAGTGCTGTGCTCACTGAACCGTGGATGACTGACACCTCTTCTACCGAATCAGAGAATTCAAAATAATGCTCCGCCTCAGTAAGTTCTACTATTTTACCTCTGGACAAGTGGAGATGGATCTGTTCTACGCTGGTTCCCTGTGAATGTAAACAAAGTGTAAGGAATAGGGCTCGTCGGTGTGGCGCATCATGCTAAGCGTTAAAAATACACTCAGCATCGCATTTTGGATTACTCTGCGTGGGTTCGCAGGCACAAATCCCATGACAGTATAGTTATATGCGATAGGATTGTTGGACTCCTCGGCGGCGCAAGGTGCACCATCAAGTTCATCAGAGAACAAATGACTGGCTAAAGAATCTCTTACCCATGGACTGGTAACCGGACAAGAGGCCTTGGTTCGCCACCTGATGAGGCCTTAGGAAACTACCAAAAAGTCCGGGAATGTGAGAGAAGCTAAGGCCAATAAAAAAACAGGAGCAAAGGAGTGACTAGGAGCATCTGGCGCCATCAACAGCTTAAACCTAAAAAAGCCTTATCAGCTTCCTTCCCCCTTGGGATAAATATGTACCGTAAATGCTATCATTAACGAACTCAAAACTCTGACCGGTGGCAGTGATCAAGGTGGTGTGAAGCAGAACGAGACCAGACTCAGATATTTATTTTAATAAAGCAAGAATCAATATGGCGCAATAAATGCATTGCAAAATAAATGCAAAATTATAAGACAATCTAGTTCTCAAATGTGTTGATGATTGCAAAATCATGTGCAGAGTCACACCTAGTCTTAGATACTTTTAAACAACTCAGACTTCTGATTTCATTAAAATTTTGACTCCTTCTTCAATCTACAAGGAAACTAAATGTTGATAATAAAAACTTTGGTGCAATAAATAAATTACTATTTTCGACATTGACTTGTAACATGACAAGAAGTCACGGTTCGTCATATGAGTATGCTTTTTACCCGCTTTACTCTCCCAGGATATCCTATACTGAATCCATACCTGATACTGGATGTGCTCCATGTACAACGGTGCTGATATCCTGATTGCAACCACGTGCCACATCGCCTTCTTGAGCTGAGGAAATTGACTGAATGCTTCGTGCATGTCTTCCGCGGCTATGAAGAATGTCTGAGAAAGTGTGTATAGTTTGAGTTAGATCAGGAGGGGACAAGGTTTTCGAACGAGGGGCTCCCATCTAGACTGGCGGGCATGTGAGTGTGACGTAAAAAGTTACATTTTAGGAACAATATTTACAGTGTTACAAAAGCAACATGACAGGTGAAAAAAGGAGATGTGAAAAGCATGCCGTCGAACCGAGTGAGCGAGAAATCGTAAAGTTTTTTTAACGTCCCTATAACATGAAAGTCTGTGGCAACCTGAGATGCAACTTACACAGACTACGTTCTAACAAGCCTATTGCACCGTACAGGTTTCCATAGCAACAACTATTTAGTGCATGCAAAATAGGTCAACATCAGAAATTTATAGCAGCATCAGACGGGCCAAATGATTAACCTAACAGGCTGAATTTGGCCCGCAGGCCGTAGTTTGCCCATGTTAGAATTAGAGGAGAAGAAAAAATCAGCACAAGAAATCTGCATTTTGCACACTAAGTGGAGCTATGGATCGTTTTGTTGAGTTGTTGTTGGGAAAAAATGCTTTTCTTCACATCTAATGGACAAATCAATTGCAATTAGAAGGCTGAAAGGCTATAACTTTGATGTTAAACCCTACAATGCACAAGTAAGGAGTTCTAGTTCACAAGAGATTTTTTTAGGTTTGGTTTAACAATTCTTCCACGAATAGTAACCTATTTCAGTATCTGCTTCTACACAGCCTTGTTCGAAGCGAATCTGAAAAACGCTTCTCATACCTGAACAGCTGTTTCACAAGTAACAGTGCAAGTCCTTGCACTTCCAGTCAACAACCCGATTTCACCGATAATGTTCCCACTGCACAAGAAATCCTCTTGATCTCCTCTGTTTTTCTGTTTCAAAACCCCAGACAACTGTCCAGAATCATCACTTCTAGCAGGGGCTTGCAAACGGAATAATTGGATCTGTCCGTGGAGTCCGCCGTGTAGCTGTGAGAATAACAGTGCATGGTTGCATTACATCAGGGGTGTGCAACCTTAATACAGGAGGGACAGATAAAAATAACCGGATGAAACCATTATTTAACATAGGTTTTTAGTAGTTTCCAGGCACAAAAATACTGCTATTTAAATTTATTGTCACAAAGCCTTAAGCAAATTCAGTGAGAAATTTGTATCTTCTTTTCCAGACTACTTTTTCCAAATTTGCTAATTCAATTGAAGTGCTAGCAATTCGAAGTTTATTTTTGACACAGAATTCAAAATTGGCATTTCTCTGTGGGCGTTGAAATCACTCGCATGTACCGGATTAAACTAAATTAAAAACTTGTTTTGCAGGTCGCACACCGGTAAAAGTTGACACTTTTTCGTGGGCCGCATAATATTTCTTTGTGGGGCGAATTTGGCCCAGGGAACACAGGCTGCACACCCCTGGGGTAATGAAATTCAAATAAATTGAGTCAAATACAAGACTTCTCCAAATCTTACCCTGATCATACCGTAGACAACAATATGAATCCCGTCAACCTCGTCTCCTTCTTGCATTATGATGTCACCATAGTCATAGTCCATGATCGAACAATGAGAACGAATGAAAGCAAGAATTTTCGAATCTCCTGTGGGTAAAAAGTGAATAATATTCATAAAAATTGGTGCTTGTAAGTAGTGTTTTTTGGATTAATTTGATCAAAGCAGGGTGAAGCAAACTCAGAAGTAAAAGAGACTCATCTATGAGGAAAGTTTCGGACGACCAATGAAACGTCCAACCAACTCATATCTTGAATGTCAATATTGCATATTTATTGAATATAGTAAATTCTGAATAAGGACAAAGTAAGCATCATATCTTTCCAATGTAAATGAGTCTGCCTTGGAATACATGAATATACACGTTCCTGCCCTAATTATTCTAGGACAGAGATCTTCAAACTGGTGGTCTCGACTCTCGGTGGCTCATTGGGGGCCACATTAAAATTTTATGTTAAAAAAAGTATTGACATATTTGGAAGATTCGAAACAGTACTAAAAAAACAACCATCATTGAAATAAAACTAAGCTTTGATCTTTTGTGCAAGAATATGCAGCGCATAAGTTTCATCAGAGGTATTGCTGATTTTATTATTTTCCTCTAATAGTTTCTGTATTGCTGAATTTTTCTTTATTTTCAGTTTCTGAGAGTTAATTAAGAAGAAATTTGGTTGCACCAAGTGGGTCCCAATGATAAAAGTTTGAAGGACACTGTTTTAGGGGCTGCTTTAATCGATTTTAATTGCAAGCTTACCAAGCATCCATGGAATATTTTCCAACAAATCTTCGGGGGGAGGGGGAGGAACGAACGATGGAACTTGTTTCTTTAACTTAACTTCAACTCCTCGCTCTAGCAGCTGAGTCTCAATTTCGTCAAGAACTCCACCTGAAATATAGAGATTTGTAGTCTTACAACCCATCTTATCAGCTTTCCTCTCTGTTGAATTTTTTTTAAAAAAAAAAATAATCCTCTCCTCCTCTACTGCAAGACACTCAAGGTTTCCATAATGTTGAATTCGGCATCAGGTTGTAAACGGGCTTTTCTGATAGACTGTAAAGAGCGCATGACAATCTAACTTTTTGACCTCCTGTTTATGGTTCCAGAGGTAGATAGAGCATGACTGGTATTTCCCAAATCTCATTATGTTTAAACAATTCAAGCTCAATAAAGTCAAAACACTGAGAAATAACCTCATCAAGCAATGAAACTAGGAAGAACGGAAGTGAGGAGAAAAGTAAAATCAGTACAGTGCCTAGCATTGTGACCCCAACAAACTGCTCTGTGGCCTCCTAGAGGGGTGAGGAACCCTGGTTTGGAACCTCTGCCAAAATTAGTCTGGAACTCAGACGAATCCAAAATTTCAACACAGACTCCAGAGAGTCCGAAAATACGACTCCTGTTCGAACAAAAAGCTTGAAAGCTGTTCCAGATAGTATCGATTCCTCCACCATCAAGTCCATGCTTCCGAAAAACAAGTAACTAACTAATCCCATTACCGTCCCTGGACTGGTAACCGGACGAGAGGCCGTGGTTTGCCATATGAATAAGTCATCTTATCGGCTTTCCTCTCCCCCAATATAAATATGTAAATCCTATCTTATGCTTTACCTGCACACAGTTGGTATATCGTATCTCTAGTCTGGTTCAGTATTGTCCTCACTGCACTTTTAGTTTTCACACTGATTGCAATTCCTGGGTGATCTCTTTGAAGCAAACCTGGAAAGTATAATATTACTAATGATTGAAAAAAACTCAGACGGTAATAAAGATCAGTGCCAGAAGGATAATGCAGTATATGGCTCGGCGGTGTGGCGCATCGTGCTAAGCGTTAGGAATACACTCGCCACCTCATCTCTGATTACCTTTCGTGGGATCGCAGGTTCAAATCCGTTGCAGGGATGATCATGTGCGAGAGGATTGCTGGACTCCTCGCCGTCGTAGGGTGGTTCACGTAACCGCTGGTCGGTTACGGCTTCCTCCACCATCAAGTCCATGCTTCCGAACACAATAACTGGCTAACTAATCTTATACCCGACCTGGACTGGTAACCGGACAAGAGGCTGTGTTCGCCATATGATTAAGCCGTCTTATCGGCTTTCCTCTCTCCTGGGATAAATATGTAAATCCTATCCTATATCCATGCTAAAACGTCTGGCACCGACATTGATCTGAAGAATATTGCAATATAAATTTAATAAACATGATTTAATGATGCATTAGATCAGAGGTGGGAAAGTTATTCATTCAGCACATTTGTGTCTTCTGAAATTACAATTATAGATTTCTATGGATATAAATTTATGTTGAAAAAACATCAACGAAAATAATGCCACTGTTACTTTGTGCTTCGTTGTTTTTATTCATAGTTTTCCATATTAAGTTACAAGCCTCCGGCCTAGTAATCAAGTCTATTATCTGTAACTGGCCCTCTTAAAAAAGTAATTGCCCACCCTTCTTTGGCATCCACCTACAGCTCTATTCTCATTGTCATTTATACCTGTCATGAATCAGTGTTCCCAACTCACCTATCTCTCTAATCTCATACAAACGATCAGTGTTCCCAACTCACCTATCTCTCTAATCTCATAAAATGATCAGTGTTCCCAATTCACCCATCTCTCCAATCTCATACAAATGATCAGTGTTCCCAACTCACCCATCGCTCTAATCTCAAACAAACGATCAGTGTTCCCAACTCATCTATCTCTCTAATCTCATACAAATGATCAGTGTTCCCAACTCACCTATCTCTCAAATCTCATACAAACGATAAGTGTTCCCAACTTACAGTGTTCCCAACTTACCCATCTCTCTAATCTCATACAAATGATCAGTGTTCCCAACTCACCCATCTCATACAAATGATCAGTGTTCCCAACTCACCCATCTCTCTAATCTCATACAAACGATTAGTGTTCCCAACTTACCCATCTCTCTAATCTCATACAAATGATCAGTGTTCCCAACTCACCCATCTCATACAAATGATCAGTGTTCCCAACTTACCCATCTCTCTAATCTCATACAAATGATCAGTGTTCCCAACTCACCCATCTCATACAAACGATCAGTGTTCCCAACTCACCCATCTCTCTAATCTCATACAAATGATCAGTGTTCCCAACTCACCCATCTCATACAAATGATCAGTGTTCCCAACTTACCCATCTCTCTAATCTCATACAAACGATCAGTGTTCCCAACTCACCTATCTCTCTAATCTCATAAAATGATCAGTGTTCCCAATTCACCCATCTCTCCAATCTCATACAAATGATCAGTGTTCCCAACTCACCCATCGCTCTAATCTCAAACAAACGATCAGTGTTCCCAACTCATCTATCTCTCTAATCTCATACAAATGATCAGTGTTCCCAACTCACCTATCTCTCAAATCTCATACAAACGATAAGTGTTCCCAACTTACAGTGTTCCCAACTTACCCATCTCTCTAATCTCATACAAATGATCAGTGTTCCCAACTCACCCATCTCATACAAATGATCAGTGTTCCCAACTCACCCATCTCTCTAATCTCATACAAACGATTAGTGTTCCCAACTTACCCATCTCTCTAATCTCATACAAATGATCAGTGTTCCCAACTCACCCATCTCATACAAATGATCAGTGTTCCCAACTTACCCATCTCTCTAATCTCATACAAATGATCAGTGTTCCCAACTCACCCATCTCATACAAACGATCAGTGTTCCCAACTCACCCATCTCTCTAATCTCATACAAATGATCAGTGTTCCAACTCACCCATCTCATACAAATGATCAGTGTTCCCAACTTACCCATCTCTCTAATCTCATACAAATGATCAGTGTTCCCAACTCACCCATCTCATACAAACGATCAGTGTTCCCAACTCACCCATCTCTCTAATCTCATACAAATGATCAGTGTTCCCAACTCACCCATCTCATACAAATGATCAGTGTTCCCAACTTACCCATCTCTCTAATCTCATACAAATGATCAGTGTTCCCAACTCACCCATCTCATACAAACGATCAGTGTTCCCAACTCACCCATCTCTCTAATCTCATACAAACGATCAGTGTTCCCAACTCACCCATCTCTCTAATCTCATACAAATGATCAGTGTTCCCAACTCACCCATCTCATACAAATGATCAGTGTTCCCAACTTACCCATCTCTCTAATCTCATACAAATGATCAGTGTTCCCAACTCACCCATCTCTCTAATCTCATACAAATGATCAGTGTTCCCAACTCACCCATCTCATACAAACGATCAGTGTTCCCAACTCACCCATCTCTCTAATCTCATACAAACGATCAGTGTTCCCAACTCACCCATCTCTCTAATCTCATACAAATGATCAGTGTTCCCAACTCACCCATCTCATACAAATGATCAGTGTTCCCAACTTACCCATCTCTCTAATCTCATACAAATGATCAGTGTTCCCAACTCACCCATCTCTCTAATCTCATACAAATGATCAGTGTTCCCAACTCACCCATCTCTCTAATCTCATACAAATGATCAGTGTTCTCAACTTACCTATCTCTCTAATCTCATACAAATGATCAGTGTTCCCAACTTACCCATCTCTCTAATCTCATACAAATGATCAGTGTTCCCAACTCACCCATCTCATACAAACGATCAGTGTTCCCAACTCACCCATCTCTCTAATCACTGTCAGCCTATTTTCATTCGATGCTGTCATTAACTTTTCCTGGATTCCTCGATTCTCACTAATACTGACAATTAGTTTGCTAACTTCTTCCTCTGCAGCTACGAAACCTTTGCCGACATCGTAACCAAAACTGAGCCTGGAAGAGTAAAGTTGAAATGAAGCCTCAAATAATGCCCTGCACACAGAATTACAACTAGCAAGATACTGTTTGGAGAGAACGGAAACATTTCTTATTGGTGCAGATTATCTAGCAAAGGCACGACGCTGTAGTGAGTGCATCACGCTATGCGTTCGGAAAATGCTCGCTACCGCACAATTATGTGCGAAAGTATTGCTGGTCTCGTTGTCATCGTAGGATTGATTGTTCACGTAACCACTGGTCGGTTACAGCTTCCTCCACCATCAAGTTCAAGCTTCCAAAAACAATTAACTGGCTAACTAATCCCATACCCGACCTGGACTGCAATCACATTTCTTTCAATGCTTTATAATTAGATAGATGTTTAACGACGTAATTAACGACGTAAAAAATAGGATTTGAAGTAAGCATTTTGGTCCATAAAATACGGTATATAAGTCTCACCTTTTATTGATCTGCTTGTTAATAAAGTCGATTGTCTTTGGAATGATCGTTTTAGAAAGACGGAGAATCCTCGTTGCTCGAAGCATTCGCAACGATTTCGCTACTTTGCTGAATTTCACAACCTTGGTCGTTCTGGGTGAAAAATATCAGAGATCTGATTCATACCGGTGTGAAAACAGTTTAAAACAGAATTTCAAGGCAATGAGTCGACATTTTCTGTACGTCTAGCAATTGCTGCTCTGGGAGAAATTTCACGTTGTATTTGTAAATATTTTTCACTTATAGGTACTAATCAAATCAAGAGTTTTGCTGTACACTAATACAAATGTATTTTTGTAACGTTTCGTCTGACCAAAATCAGACTTCCTCAGACAAGCAGTTTACAGCAATGACAAGAACAGAATCAATCATGCGGTTTAAATACGACAATAAATAAATTTGTTTGAAATTAAACATGGCTATACTATTTCTGTAACGTTTTTGTCTGACCAAAATCAGACTTCCTCACTCAGACAAGCAGTTTAGTATTATCTGCAAAACATATTTATGCAAATGTTGTAAACTATTCGGTAGAAAAACCTTGTTTCGAGTTTCGAGTCACACTAGCTATGGATTGATTAAATGATGATTTTTTTGCATAGTGACGGGGAATTAAGAGACCCAGAATAGCCAAAGGGGAGGACTCAATCGAACAAGGTTGGATATGACTGCAACAAGCAGCGATTGCAGAGACAACAATTATTATTGGTAGACAGTCAGATAGTTTTTGAATATCTTATGCTTAAGACTTCGTTGCTCTATCATGGTGTTCTTGGCCAGAAATGGTTTCGGTCAGATCAGGGGTTCCCAAACCAGAGGTCGCGACCCCAAATTGGGTTGGAGTGATAAGTAGGTAGGGTCGCAAACAGGTCATGGGGTCGGTGGGGTTGCTGAGGTATGGTAGAGGATGGATGTACAAACCATCTGAGATTTGACAAACCATATTAAATTTAGCCGTTTCTACCATGGCTTACTATAAAACAGGGCCATATACATCGCATAGATAGAAAATGTACTTGCTTATTGTGACATCACTGTTTGGTTTCAGCGTATTTTACTTAATACCACCACATGACCAAACTCGAAAGTCCAGTGAAAGAAGCTCTAAAGTTTCATGAAAAATATATATATTGACATGGGGTCGCACTGAACACTTGAAAGTTGTCTTTGGTGTCGTCCTGAAAAAAGCTTGGGAACCCCTGGGTCAGATAAATTACACTGACTTAAGCAAAGACAGCAACTGACAATGTCAAAAATCCTTAAAATCAGAATCTATTCTTAGCTCCAATGAGATTTCTTCTATTTGATTAAGAATCTCAAACAACTCTCAAATCAATTAGGAATCTCGTAATTAAGAATCTGAAGAAACACTTGTTCTCGGGGCTCTGGCTCCCATCAATCAAAGTGGTTACATCAATATTTTTAGAAGCAGTGAGGATTCAATGAAAGGCAAATAAATAAAGCCGAATACTCTCCACTAATTACACATCACAGCGGTTTCTAAAATATAATTCACAACAGTAAAAACTGACAGTGACATTATAGTAGATGTTGTGACTTTTGTAGAATTGGAGTCGATGGAAAGTGTACCAGGTTAAGGTTCAACTATGATTTTATTCCAATTATCCTTATTTTAGTTCTGTTACGAGTTTGGACACTGTCTGTGTTAGCCAAGTGAATATACCCTCTTTCCAAAGACTTCAGTCCTTTTACACAACTTGATGTAAAGTAGGCGAACAAAATTACCTCCATATTGCTACACATACTTCTGGAACAATATAAAATAAGCATGAAATCTCATTTCAATATAACTTACTTCACAGTTTTAGCAATCGAGCCAGTAGCCGCAGTTGCATCCACAATAACCATGTCGATGATAATTTCAATGAAACAAATCGCTAAGATCAGAATGTCAAACCAATTCCATTTGTCACTGAAATACTGTTTCGCTCCGAGGCCGACAAACTAAAGAGATAAGATTTGTGATTTTCCACCACTTGGCGTCAGGTAATGCTATGTACTCTGAATTAGGGTTTCTCAAACTGGGGTCCACGAACCCCTGGTGATACGTGATAATTGCAAAGGGGGGCTGCAACGATATGAAAAGAGTCTGATCGATCTTCAATGATTGATATTTCCTTCCTCGCTGGTTAGGTTCAGAAATTGATATGGCATAGTATGGGGGTTTGTCAAACTAAGACTCACAAATAAGGATCCACAGACCAAAAAGCTTGGAGAAATCCACTCTATATAACTTTTTAAAAGAGATTGAAATGGAGCCTCAAACAAGGCACTGCGCACAAAGTTACAACTAGCAAGATAATGTTTGGGAAGAGCGGAAACATTCCCTATTAGCGCAGATTATCACTGTGGTGCATCATGATAAGCGTTAGGAAAATGCTCGTCACCTCACCTCTGATTACCCTGTATAAAATGAGGCTTCATTTAATTGAGTTTTTATAAAATATCCCGGCCCAAATTATCACAATTAAGTATGAAATTTTGATACTCCGAACCAAAAAAATTTAAAATTTTAATTCTGTAATACCGAATCCAGGAAATTTAGAAATACAGAACAAGGTTTTTATTCGCAAAAATTGATTTCCTCGAAAGATCGGGGTCAAAATTCCTATCAAACTGAAAGCCGTAGTCGAAATCAAAATTTTTTCAACAAGGCGTCTAAATTTTATCAGCCCACGCTCGGAAGCCAGAGTTTCCCTGTCTGCTGCACAGGCAGTGTGGTGCATTGTGACAAGAATTGGAAATAAACTCCCCACCGTACCTCTAATTACTCTGTGTGGGTTCGCAGGTTCGAATTCCATGTAGGAATGGTTATGTGCGAGAGGATTGATGGAATCCTCACTGCCGTAGGGTGGTTCACGTAACCGCTGGTTGGTTACAGCTTCCTCCACCATCAAGTCCATGCTCTCGAAAACAAATAACTAACTAATCCCATAACCGACATGAACTGGTAACTGTACGAGAGGCTGTAATTCGCCATATGATTATGTCGTCTTAACGTCTTTTCTCTCCCTCAGAGATAAATATGTAAATCCCATATCTATCTGATATGATAAAAAAGAAGAAAACTTTCTTTCTCTAGTCGACTAATTCCATCCACCAAAACATAAATTTGGACCACCTTTCTTTATGTGACTGGTTTCATTCACAAAACAAATTAATGAAGCAACAACAAACCTTCATTCCGGCTTCTACACAGTAAATAATGATGAAGACGTAGTTGGTGAGCTGTTAGAGAAAAAAAGGAAAATTAAACATTAATTAAAACAAAAAACATTCAAAACAAATGGAATATGTATAACTCTATAAGCAGCATAACTGGCAAAACAATTTTCTAGATTTTAGAATTAATTCCAAAGATCACCCGAATAAGCATCAAAATTTTTAGGAAGAATTAAGGAGGAAGAAGGTGGATGCCAATCTTATCTGTTTATCTTATAAAATCTGACCTGTAATCCTATAAGCCACTGGTCGGCATTTTCCCAAGTTTCATCAATTAAGAAATCCATTATGATGGGAAAAATATTGATCAGAATCACCATTTGCATAACAATTTCAAACTGACCAGAGCGTACGATGCGAAACAAGCGTTTGATCTGACGACTTCGACTGTAAAAATTTGAATTGTTATGTTTATTATTCGACTTAGAAAACTAATGTTCAGCGCTTCTTAACCAGAAGTGCTCTTTTTTTTTATATGAATCCTATCCATTCCTTTCTCTCTGAACAAGGTCCTGTACAAGCAATAATTGATTGGCCTGGTGGCTCATCGTGCTAAACGTTAGAAATACGCACTGAAACTCTGTGTACCTTACGTGGGTTCGCAGGTTCGAATCCCATTCAGTAATCAGTAGTTTATTTTGTCACCATACTAAAAGCATACTTGGATATCGAGCAGCAGTACCCGTAAGCAAGTCTAACACAAAAGTAATAACAAAAAGTCGAACTGTATATATACAGTATCATATGTGTTGGATTGAAAAAAACAATAACCTACTCAAGGCAGGCCAATCTGGTATGCCCAGTAGTCTCACGTTTCAACAACAACGAAAACGATTTCGTGCACCAGCAATCTAAGTAGCCATGACGACAGCTGTGTTGAGGTAAAGTCACAATGGTACCATTATGTGTGAGAGGATTGCTGACCTCCTTGCACCGTAGGGTGGTTCGCATAACCGCTGTTTGGTTACGGCTTCCTCCACCATCAAGTCCATGCATCTGAAACGAGTTACTGGCTAACTAATCCCATACCCGACATGGAAGGGTAACTGGACCAGAGGTCGTGGTTCGCCATATGATTGGCGACTTTCCATTCCCCTGGTATAATCATATCATAAATCTAACTATATGTGAGTACTATTATTAGTAAAATGGCGGAATCTTTTTAGTTTAGAATTGTCTACTCATTTTATCGCATCCTGGATGAGACTTGAGGCACAGAATTTCAACTCAAGTTGGGTGACATGCGATGACAACATAGTAAATCTAACGCCTTAACCGCTAGGTTAACCATTGATATCACTGTTTTTGAAATTCTCCTTTCCGATCTGTTGAATTAGATGTTAGAATCTCGGATGTCGTTGCTCGATAACCGAAGTCAGACTTCCTCAGACATAACAGTTCAACTATCATTCAACTGCACATATACATTGTAGAATGAACTGTATAGCATTTCTGAGTGGCGGGAAACACAATAAACCAGCACTAATAAACAAGGTAGCAAATGTTATTACACCGCTAAATGTCTGTACTAATCATACATACCCAGGTGGTTGCATGGTATCGATCTTCTTTCCGTACTGCATGTCTTCCAGCTTTGACTTGAACCACGGCAGGAAGCCTTTCACTTGCCAACACTTACGGATGGTGTCAACGTTCACGAATCTAGGACAATGTATATATATTTCTTACAAAGTGTTTTCAAACCTTTTTTTACTCCTAGGAACGCTTTACACTAACAGATACTGATACACAGCCATAGAGCTCTCCTTCTTCTATATTCCGCAATTTCTGATTGTATAAAGCTGTATAACTAATAATTCGGTTAGAAGTACTTGTGAATAGCAGAAATTAATATACATTACAAGACACAAAAAGAAACTTGATCATTTCAAAGTAGGGATCAGTATAAAATCATTACATATGATTTGGAAAAAAAAACTCAATAGAGACAAACAGTCAGAGAAATACAATCGGGACATACTAGTCGTTCGCACAGAAATGCTTGACAACATTAGATTCACCATATAATTCAACTATTTTTTTGGAGCAGTTAAATTTAATTTAACTTTTAACTAACTTAATTTGACTTTTAATCATAGTTGGAATCTCCATCGCATACTGGAGTCAAATTATTTTCAAATTAGAGCTAGGGCGAATCAGACTTAAATTTTTTTCAGCACAGAGTCAATCGTGAACTATTTCCAACTCAAAATCCTTCCTCAGATTATTTAATCTGTTCTAGGAAACACGAAACGAAACGTGCACATAATTTTCTTCGAGCAAACCCATGGAAAAAAGGGAAAAAATACCAAAAAAATAACACTTACTCCCCAGGCTTATCTGCTGCAGTATCAGCAGCTGAAACCAGCACTCTAGCCTCCTGGTCAGTTAGCATACCATTGCTGTATTGTTTCCAGTAAGACATCTAAGAAGAAAAAATTGGTTGAAAATAATATTTTGACCATCTTTCAGCCTAAAGCAGCTTAATCCTATGGAGAACCACGGCCTCTTGTACGGTTACCAGTCCATGTCAGGTATGGGATTAGTCAACCAGTTTGATATTTGTTCCAGATGCATGGACTTTATATTCCATATTTTAACGAAGATCGCTAAGTCAGAAGAATTTAGCAATCAATTCTAACTCAAGATTCAAAAATTAATTTAACTATGGCTCCCAGTTAGGAAATTTTTTTAAATCTGACCTGAACTTTGTATTATTTGCATTGTGAATGTGCGGCCCACGCAATGCTACTCCTATGGTTTTCCCCTATGACCCTCCCCCAGGCCCGCCCAGAAACAGACTTGAAACAATCCCGCCCCAATAGTAATAGGCTGTCTTAACCTCTTGAAGTTCTAAAATACTCCCCTTTTAATTGAAAAGAATTCTGAATAAACCATCTTACCAGCTTTCTTCTCAAATAAAAGAATAAAAATCATATTTTATTGAACCCTTGTATTTCTTAAAAATGTATCTCATGTCCCCAAACCTTCAATGCTTTGATGAGCCTCAATCTTGCTTCTTCAAACAAATCTTTGAACGTTTGATCTTCCGATTTCGACATCTGAAACGAAATCTGAGGGATCAATGGTTTGGTTTATCAGTAAGATATGATTAGATTTGTCAAAGTTTGTCAAACTTTTCAACTTGCGCTAATAATAGAATTGCAGCCCACTAATTACAAAAGTTTCCTAGGTCATTCAATTGTGGAAACCACAATGCAGAGCCAACATGATCTAGCACAGGGTGGTCCAAACCCAGGCCCGCGGGCCACATGTGGTGACACAAAATGATGAATGCACATGCAAAATTTGAAGCAGATTTAACCACGCCTTCGTGAGATATCGCGTGCATCTAACAGACAAATACCTATCAACATACTTACCGATCCAAAGATCGATAATTAGCAAGATTTGCTTTCAATCAAGAACATCCGCATTTCATAGTCAATTCTCATACAAGGTGTCCGTAAAGTCTCTTTACAATATCAATTTTGTTATGAAATCAGTTTTCAATATATCTTGCCCATTTTTTTTCATAATAATCAGTATTTATTCAAGTATTTTTAATACATTTAATACATCTGTGAGGGCTAAAACAACATATGGTATCGATAAATTCCCTTTGCAATTTTAAAATAATTTGAGACTTTACGGACTACTGCGTATTTTTTTTTGAAAAATTGGGGCATTTAAAATGAATATTTATTCAGATTCAAACGTTGTCTCTGATTTCTTCTCCTCAAGGATATACAATCAGAACAACTAGCAATATTCACCTTTACTTCATCTGGGCTCACTTCACCATCTCGTGCTGGATGAATCCTTCCTTGACCAGACCATCCACCGGCTGCCACAGCCCCAGACTAGAAAAATAAAAATAATAAAGACATGATAGCTATGAACCTTTCCCCGACCTTTGACTCCAAAAAATTCTTCCTATACTTTACCATTGCAAAATTTTCGGGGCTATTTTAAGAGTGCTTTTGCGAGTTGGCACCTGTGAAATGGGTGATGTGTTTCAAACCATCATTGTGATTTAGCGCATACAACAATCTGTTTTTTAAAAGTACCTGTAAAGAATTTTAACCTAGTCTATCACAGCTATTTCTACACTAATTTCTTATTACTGCAATTAAATTAAAACTTCTAGGAAGACAGGGTGACCACTGAATTATCTGATTTATATTCAAGTATCCGAAACACAACTGAAAACTAACGAATAGAGTTCAAAAATGCGAAAACGAAGTAATGTTTACGACCACGCTTGAAAATCTATCTGAGTGAGAAAAATGTCTGAGCGGATGCAAAAAGGAAGCATTGTTACGTCACTTTTTGCATCTTGCTGATTGGCCAATGTCACGAAGTAAACAAGGAAGTCGATGCTCGGGGAAAGGTCCATTAGCTAGGTGGTTAACTATAGCGTTGAACTATATTTGCATTGCAGGTTATCAAGGTTCTCGGATTCAGATCCCTTGGCCATCACTTCACCCATGGTGAGATAAATTGAATAGGCAATGTGAAGATCTCTGTTCTCCCAAACTTAGAATAGAAGTGCCTTCCTCAACAAAGGGTGGACGTTTTAACAATGAATTCTTGTGGTTAAAATTATTTGGCATCGTATGTGGATCTGGAAGACCCAGACTAGAAATAAGATGGTGTCTTATGTTTCACTCCTATGGCGTATCTATAATATGGCAGCCATGAGCACTGTTTGGATAGAGTGCACAAACAGCAAAAATTTCAATCGTGAAAAGTTTTTATAATCCAATTTGAAATTAAAATAAATGAAACTAGTATTTTTACTTAAATAGTAAAGCACAATGGTCTCATTTTAACAACAACCGTTAATACACCAACTAACAAACAATGTCACTAACTTTGCCCTGTTTCATTGCTACTTTTTCACTCACACAATTTAGAAGGATCATAACCTTCCAGTTCTGCAGTGCCTAACCAAAAACGAAATCTGCAGATAGATTCATGCAAATAACATACAATAACTGGTACCTAATGACAAGTGTGGTCACTATAATCTAGTGATTTAAGCATAGCCTACTCTCTCTTTTGGTCTCGCAGATCACAGATGTTGGGTCAAACCAATAGCCCCGATCTTTCAACTAGGATGAAAAATATAACTCACCGTTGGATATTCCTTATAAGGGTATGATATCTGCGTCATCTCATGCACAATTGACCATCTTGCATCAGCTAGAAATCTGTCGTACTTCAGCACAGAAACGGAACGTTTGATATCCAGCTGTATCCGATTTACTGCGTTCAACATTGTCAGCTGTTGGGCTGTTGTGACTGCAAGCATACCTGAGGAAAGCGAAGAGTTTTTGCATTTTGATGATGGTCAGGTGGTTACAACCAGTAGTAGGATTCAGCCGGTTCGAACCGGTTCTATAGAACCGTCTCACGGAATTTTATGAGATCAACGAACCGGTTAGCATTACTGGTTACTGTCAATGTTCTGTTTGCAACAGAACCGGCTGACAAATATGACATTTGGAACCGACTGACAAAAAATTTGCTCCATGGTTTTGCAATGAACAACCCGTATTCGTATAATGCAAGCATAAGTAAAATTACTTTATCAAGTGATTCAAGAGTCTTGCTGCACACAAACATAAATATATCTCAGAAACCTCTGAGAAAATTTTACACTGAGCAAATGTTTGTTTTAGTGAGCATGAGCATTTTAAAGTTGTGTGAGAAGATTCCTGATAGATTTACAAGACTTGTAAAATATTACAATAGTATAATACAATATCAGAATGTGAGTGACATCACAACAAAAAGTGGCAACCAAAATGTGAAACATGGAACAAGCATTCTAGCTGGCGTTGAAAAATATGACAGCAATGCTTTAAAACGCAATGTTGCAAATATTCAAAAATACGAACCAAGATGGCGCACAACCTGAACTCAGGTTGTGTACCAGGTTAGAGGTTCAGGTTATGCGACATCTTGGTGCGCATACTTCAGGAGCACCCAAAAATGAGATCCTACTGCGCAATTGGTCTGGTGGTATTGCGCAATGGCGCAGTTGCACACCTGGTCAAGAAATTTCATTTTACTCAGATGAAAGGCTCTGGAATTACTCGTATCCAACAATGTTGGCATCATAGGTTGTCAGGTTTAAGCTCCGCGCTTCCAAGCAAATAAATGCTTGCCAAGAGATTCATACATACTCACCTGTTAAAGATCACTATTTTTAGGGTAGATTCTTGCTGTACATTAACACAAATAATTGGTCATGCGTTAATGGATTTATATTCAAAAAATGGAAGAGTGATGAAAGCTATTTTCAATATGTTAAAAGTCTTGCTGCAAGCTAAAACTAAAGTTGATTTTCGTCAGACGAAATTTTACAGAAGTATATTTGTGTTAGAACTGAGTGAGTGTGTGTTACATTGCTTTGAGTAAATTTCCTCAAAAAACTTTATATTTACAACCTTACATAATCCCCAGCTAACAATTGAAAATAATAAACATATAGAACTCCAGAAGTGTGTACCAATAAGGAGGTAAAGTGACTGAAGCCTATGTTCAGGTGGATATTCACTTGGCTAGCGCAGACAGTCTCCGAACTCATAATAAAATAACGAAAATCGGAATAGAAAAATGACCTAACCCTAACTTGGTACACACACTACCAAAATCAGTCCTACAGTTTCATAAATAAAACACAGTGAACAACCCACCAAGCCTGTCCAGGAAAGCTTCAATGGTTGATGCGTTTATCAGCAGGGTCAGGAGCACAATGCCACCAGTATGAAGGAGAATCTGAATATGAGAAAAATCAGTCATGTTTGTATACATATGACGTTTATTACTGTTCCCCTCTGAACACGTCTCAGTACAAGTACCTGCTGATATAAAGGAAATGCCATTTTTCAAAATATTTTGGTTCGCCTCTCTGCCCGATCTATTACACCTTGGGTGAGAGGGTCAGAAAGTGATCCCAAGATTTCAACCTGTCCTGCCAACATAGTCAAGACTTCCACTAGGAAATGTCACCCACAAGTTACTTAGGATAACTTAGGATGGATGTAAACGTTCATGGGCAAGCACGCATTAACACTGTGGTTTTAAAACGGTGAGGCATTTAGACAGATTTATGAAGCTGAATAAAAAAACATATATTTGTAAGTTTTGATCTTGCACGTCTCATTTTGGATATTCAAATTTCTTTATTTTGGACATGTACCACCCGCTAATTTTCAATGTGTTTTCTAATAAAACATACTTTCACTTTGGGCGCGGCGGTGTGGCGCATCGTGCTAAGCGTTAGGAATACGCTCGCCACCGCATCTCTGATTACTTTGAGTGGGTTCGCCGATCCCATGCGGGGATGATTAAGTGCGAGAGGATTGCTGAAATCCGCGCCGCCGAAGGGTGGTTAACGTAACCGCTGGTCGGTTACGGCTTCCTCCACCATCAAGTCCATGCTTCCGAAAACAAATACCTGGCTAGCTAATCCCATACCCGACTTGGAATGGTAACCGGACGAGAGGCCGTGGTTCGCCATATGATTAAGCCGTCTTATCCCTTTCCTCTCCCCCGAAATAAATATGTAAATCCTATCCTATCATCTAATAATTGTAGCTTATTATTTTTGATGATGGGTGCAGGACTTGAGAAAAAAAAACTTAAAAAGTTTCAGAACCACTCCATTAATGAATTTTGAGAGTTTGAGTTTTTAACTTTGAGTTGGTGTGATCCTGACTCTACTACCTGCCAATAAAACCTCTTGACTAGACTTGGGATCTCTATCCAGCACTTTGATGCGCAATTTAAAAATACTAATGGAGGTAAATGTTACTCCTAACACTAAGTCAAGTTGAAGCAAATTTCTCACCTTTTGAAAAACTTTCTGAAAATCAACTTCTGTGAAAAAATATAAAAGCACATATAAGAATTAAGTTGTGTACACCAATTGTTGTTATGAGATGTATTTTTTTTGAATAAATATTTCCAAAGCAAGGAAATACGCACCCACTAACTAAGATTCATTTTTGAACAAAGTTATGGGCACTAACTCAGAAGTTACTTACCGGTTATTTGCTTCAGATGCATGGACTTGATGGTGGAGGGATGCCGTAACTAACCATGGTTATGCAAACCACCCTACATTAGTTAGGAGTTCAGCAATCATCTCGCACAGAGTAATCATTACTCATAACACTTAGCACAATGTCCCAACCGCTGTGCCTGATCCATTAACTGTATTAATGAAACCTTCTGGCTTCGGTCCAAAACTTTGGGTTGAGAGGATTTTCAAGTTCAACTGTAAGTTCAGATCTTACAACTGTGGCTCTCAATCTTTTATGGCTTGTGGCTTCTTTCCAGAGGCATGTAGCACTCTTGGCCACCCTGTTTATCACTCTTGAGTGTTGTTTTGATTGGTAGATTTCAAATCCCATTATGTTCAAACAATTTACGCTCAAGCAATTGGAATTGGGAAGAACGAGAAGTTTTTTTGTAAAGAGAAAGTTAAATCAGTTTGCTCCTAGCATTGTGGGCCCTTTAGGGAGCCACGATTCCCCGACTGGGAACCGCTGTCTTACAACATGTTAACCCTTTACTGCCAAACCAACTTACCATCCTCTGCAATTATAGAAAGAGTTTGTGGTTCAACGAGATCCGATACTCTGCCCGTCGACTCTAATTCAGCAGCTAGCATCGTAATGTTTGGAGATACGTTGTCAAATTGAGTCAAATTGAATGTGCTAACATCAATAGGTGGCGCTAGAATGCTGCAAAATATTGCATGTTTGTGTTAAGATGAAATTCTCCTTTGTAGTATGTTGGCTTATTATGCTCATGTCCGAGATTTATTAACTTTGGCTTAATTGTCATTTGGACAATTACCAGCCACAGAATGTTTATTCCTTAGTTCATTTTTAATTGATCATTGCAAAGAACTGAATATATCCCAGTAAATATTATTAATTTGCTAACAAACCCGGAAACATATTTTGTTACAGAATACCTCCTCATAACAGGTAGAAGCATTTGAGCACCCAATGCATACGCACCAATAAATATTGATGATATTAATTAAATGTGTTATAATAATTTGTGTTAGGATTTGTATTTGTTTCAAGAGACAAAAGATGGTCAGCTTATAATGCTCAGGTCCGTGATGTAGTGCTTTTCACCTATTTCGCATTTGAACAACTACCCGCTACAGAATGATTATTTTTAAGCAATTTTTGAGAGGTATCGGAAATAGCAATGTTAGGAAATTTTCCAGCTATAGGCACTGGACTGTAGATATAGGTACTTGGTTCTGAACTTATGGGTATGTCGTTTCAAGATTGTTAAATGTTTTCCAAATTGAACACAGAAAAAAATTTGCATATTTATTCCATAGGCGAAAAAGTGATAAGACAGCTTGATCATATGGCGAACCAACATCTCTCGTCTGGTTACCAGTTCATGTCGGGTATGGGCTCAGTTAACCAGTCATTTATTTCAGATGCATGGACTTGATGGCGGAGTCGCAACTGACCAGCATTAACGTAATCAATCCATGACAACGAATCCATGTTGAAGAGAAATTGTGATAATGGTTCATAAAAAAGCTCAAATAGACTTACTTGACATAACTGTTGAGATAGATTGCCAATGCCAATCCGACAGCTCCACGTAACCCTCCCCATGTCATCACAAGAACGTGTCTCCAGTTCAACTCAATCCCAAGACGAGTCATCAGAGGGAAGAAACTGAAAATGCTGATGGCCCTGGAAAAATTCAGTAAAAAAATTACGAATAATGCTTTTTAATTGCGCGAGTAAGCCATGGTACAAAAAATGGCAACATACATTACAAACGCCATGACGGAAATTCATAAAAGTTCTTGAATGAAATCTAAATATGAAACCTAAAAGTACTACACCTTGTAACAAAAAATATAGGTAAGAAAACACGAGAGCGTCGTCTAATCAGGTTTTAAGCTTGTAAGTATTGTGATAATACATGAATATAAACAATAAACACAATGATATACTCTCCCATCTAAGTCTGAGAGCCTTGTGATAATGCATTGATGATATAAGGATAAATATAAATTGAGATACTTTCCAATCGAGCTTGTCAGCATTGCGATAATGCATTAATATAAGTAAAAATAAAATACTATGGCCATAGTCGCAGCCAGTAACTTTTGTTTTGAAGTTTCCGATTGATAAGTTAGAGTTAGACTACAACAGCTAACGGGTACAGACAATGGCCGTAAAACGTGTTTTTTTAGTATTGAGGGTCTAAAGAGCTTCTCAAGATATGTAAATCGTACGTATGATACAAAATAATGCTTTATTTTTACATTTCAAAAGGGGTTATCCTACCCCCAAACCCCCACTGGGCACGTTCTGCGATGACACTCCCTAGTCAAGCTTCAAGGTTGTTACTCTAGTCTACCATATTTCGAAGTAATACCAACCTTATAATAGTAATTCCAACATATATAACAAGGAGATATCCCACATCGTACCAAGAAATATCGCCCATGAACTTGGTGATTTGGATTCCAACTATCACAAAAATTAAGGTGTTCGCAAGATATGCCAGCATCTCCCAGAATCTAAAAAATGAATGACTATTAGTCCATGGAAAAATTTACAATTGCGCGATTTAGTCAAGCGGTTTCCAACCTCAAAGAGGCCACAAAGCAGTTGGATGGTCTAATACTAGGCGCAGAACTGAACTTACTTTTCCTTTAACAAAAAGTCTATCCGTTCTTCCTAGTTTCATTGTTTAAGTAGCATATTTCACAGAACGTATTCATTTTGAGCTTGAATTGTTTGAAGATAATAGAATTTGAAATCCACTAATCATAATACCACTGGAACATGGGGGTCATAATGAGTGCTGAACCCCTCCGAAAATGGGCCACGAGCCATAAAAGGTTGGGAACCATTGATTTAGTTTTTAACTACAGACTCAGACTTGTGAAAAGCGTCTGAAATGGTTAAATGATCCCTCAACCTGACCTAGACAAATGCATTGGTTTCCTTGAGATGTCTGTCATGTCAGAGGTTTTTAATGCTTTCACTATTCGAGTTGGCAGTGGTGTTGGGTCGTTTTGAGTCGAGTCTGGATTTGATTTGGACTCAAGTCACCATTCATTAAAGACTCAAAGTGACTCAAGACATCAAAATGAAATCACTCGAACTCAATTAGCGGCATGGCGCATTATGCTAAGCGTTAACAATACGCTCGCCACCGCACTTCTGATTACTATCCGTTGGTTTACAGGTTCGAATCCCATGCAGGGATGGTTATGTGCGAGAGAATTGCTGGACTTCTCGCTGTCGTAGGGTGGTTCGTGCAACTGCTGGTTGGTTATGACATCCTCTGTTATCACATCCCTGCTTCCGAAAACATAAAACATGGACTGGTAACCTGACGAGAGGCCGTGGTTGCCATATGATTCAGTTGTCTTATCAGTCTTCCTCCACCCGAGATAAAAATGTAAATCCTATCTTAAATACAAACTATATTATACTTAACTCAGTGATTACCGGTAACTCAACACAACTGGCCCTCCCCACATCTGACATTTTCAGCTACATGGCAGTATACTTATCCAGTCTAGACTGAGTGATGTCCCCAGTATACCATTTTATTAAGCCATCTTATTGCTTCCCCTCTCCCAAGTTATTGAAAAATCATAACCAAAACGGCAAAAGTGTTTTACCTGTGTAGGAAATGGTCGACCTGTGGAGTGATAGAGGCTCTGTCCAACGCAAGTCCAAAGACAACGACTGCTAGCACACCGGATGTTTTAGCCTGAACATAAATTGAATTGTTGACTTTTTTACATGGTGTTTTATGTCTTTCACTCTAAACAAGACTCCTTATAAGCGGCCACTGATAGGTAATGAGAAATTATAGTTTAAGAACTTCTATGAATCTCATGTCAATTAGCAATTACTGGTATGTAATGGTACGTCAGAGATGAGTCACCTTTATATCTGAGTGAGTAAGTGCCTATAACTTTGCTCTGAGATGAGTTTTCTTTATTTCTGAGTGAGTGCCATAAAATTTGCCCAAAGATGAGTCTCATTCATCTCTGAGTAAGTGAATTTAACTTTGCTCAGATATGAGTCTACTTTATCTAAGAATGAGTGCGCGTAACTTTACTCAGAGATGAATCTCCTTTACTTCTGAGTGAATGCGCGTAACTTTACTCAGAGATGAGTCTTCTTTACTTCTGAGTGAGTGCGCGTAACTTTACTCAGAGATGAATCTTCTTTACTTCTGAGTGAGTGCCCGTAACTTTACTCAGAGATGAGTCTTCTTTACTTCTGAGTTGGTGCGCGTAACTTTGCTCAGAGGTGAGTCTCCATTACTTCTGAGTGAGTGCGCGTAACTTTACTCAGAGATGAGTCTTCTTTACTTCTGAGTGAGTGCGCGTAACTTTACTCAGAGATGAGTCTTCTTTACTTCTGAGTGAGTGCCGTAACTTTACTCAAAGATGAGTCTTCTTTACTTCTGAGTGAGTGCGCGTAACTTTGCTCAGAGGTGAGTCTCCTTTACTTCTGAGTGAGTGCCCGCAAATTTTCTCAGAGATGAGTCTCCCTTACTTCTGAGTGAGTGCGCGTAACTTTGCTCAGAGATGAGATTCCTTCACTTCTGAGTGAGTGCCTGTAACTTTGCTCAGAGATGAGTCTCTTTTACTTCTGAGTGAGTGCCTGTAACTTTGCTCAGAGATGAGTCTCTTTTACTTCTGAGTGAGTGCCTGTAACTTTGCTCAGAGATGAGTCTCTTTTACTTCTAATTGAGTGCCCGTAACTTTACTCAGAGATGAGATTCCTTCACTTTTGAGTGAGTACGCTTGACCTTGCTTTGAGAATTTAAAAAACACTGAAACACCTCCATTGAATACCCCTCGAAAAGTAGATAGAGTCAGACACTCACCCATTCTCCGAAATAGAAAGTTAGGTAAGTGAAACTCAGAGTGACAGTGATTTCAGCCAGAGCATCATTGTAGATGTAACCGAGGATGAAACCTGCGACTTTGGCGAAGAGAAATCCCATTACAGGACCCAGGAATGATTGTTGCATCACAAGTTGGAAAGTTGTAAGACCTGAAATAGGATCACCAAATATTTTAAGCGTGTCATTTGTCTTTAAATGTTCAGACACTTTTGATAATGAAAAATGGTGGAAGACATCAAGATAACCAACCCGAAGTGCCATACAGTGTATTTTAATGTTCTGTTCAATGTATATTTAGAAAAGGTCACAACGTCTCTGTATGTTTCGTTTGACCAAAGTCAGACTTACTCAAACAAGCACTTTACAACAGCAGTTTATATTTGTGTTAGTGTGCAGCAGTTGAATTGCACTTGAATTGCATAGCATGGGCATGTATATTCCTGCTACAGCATTCTTGCATTATTCGCCTCCATTAGCATAGAAGCCCAGAAGAAGGATAGAGTTAGTTCTGCGCAACCCAATCAATATATGTTGTATTTGATATTTTAGTTGACTGCTAGATAGCCCAAATTTTTTTGCCTGGACTTGTGATTTATCTTTTCTGTTTCGGGAGGAGCTGACGAAAACATTGTGATTCATTAAAGGTTTTGCTAAAGAAGTCTTTATTTTATATTTGACTGTATTGTGTAATTGGGATTTTGAAATGAACTAACACCAATGCATTCACAGAACTTGTTCTCTCGTAGTATCTGTACCAGGTTAAGGCCTTATTTTATCCCGTTTTTTATTTCCTTATCTTAGTTCTATTACGAGTTTGGGGCTGTCTGAGAGGCCCTTACCTGACAGCAGTTACATGAGCAAATATGAGACAGCGAGACATCCAGCAATATTTCCACATATACCAATATTCACCCACTGAGAGATTCAAACCAGCACACTGATTAAGGTGCTAAATATTTAAACATCCCATAAAAATTCTCCTGCAAGAATCCTGCATAATACTGTTCAAATATCCGATTTTAGACGAAACCAACCTGTCATATCAGGAAAGTGTGGAGTCGTCGATTTCAACATTTCTAAAAATATTTTGAAAACAACAATGGCTGCTCCATCGTTCAATAATGCTTCTCCCTCTATGATTGTTCCGAGGTATTTCTGGTTTCCTGTCAAAATAAAAAAGCTGACCTTACACTTGACATGGGCAAGCAAAATCCAGCCCATTGGGTAATTCAATTTGGCTCAAATTCAATAGCTCAAAGAATTTGTTGAGATTGTGATTAAATTTGGTTTTGGCACAAGGCTTATTGTTTTGCATTTTTGCTTTTGCAGCACAGTAAATATTGTTCATAGAATGTAACTCTTAATGTCACACTTACGTCAAACATGGCCCTTCAGTCAAGGTGGGCAAAATTGTTTGCCCCTGGTTCAAAAACCTCGCTCACCCCTGCCTTATACGACAGAATCAAAGGGAAGCTGATAACACCACATATTCGTATGGCGATCCACGGCTCTCATCCAGTAACCAGATAAAGCCGCGTACTGGAATAGTTCAGAACCTCAAAAATGTCCAATAATCTCATGATTGTGCCTCCTGAAGCACACTTTCTACTCACCATGCATGGTGAAAATGACATTTTTGAGACACCAGGAATATTTAAACAACATGTTATGCCCACTTGTCTCATACTTGTCCCACAAGCCCCTTTTGTAGTACACTTGAACCACATGGCACAAGCTATTTAGTATGGCTTTTTACATTACCTTGGATGTTCGAGAAGATTAACTAGAAAATGTTTATGTCAACTACACTCATGTAACAATCACCTATAGTTCCTTCCACTGTCCAAATTTGGGTCCTCGTGTAGTATGTGCACTAATATGGCAGACATCGGAACGTAGTATGTGTACCGAGTTAGGGTTAGGCCATAATTTCAGGTACAAATACTACGGGAATCACTTGGCTACTATGTTCTGGTGTCCGCCATCTTGGTGAACATACTATGGGAGCCAAACCAAATTTGTGCAGCAACCAATGGCTGATAACTACCCAGACCTACCTAATTCCTTTAGCAATGCGACCACGGCCACTGGATCTGTTGCACTGATAATCGCTCCGAATAGGATGGCAATGTAGAGACGAGCCTGAATAAAAAATAAGAATGTGTTTACTCTGCCTCTATGTTTGATCACAACAGAGTGTTCCTAGCTACTGATTCTTTGCTAGTGGATACGTATGCATTGAATAGGATAGGATTTACGTATTTATCCAGGGAGAGAGGGAATCCGATAAGACGGATTAATCATACGGTGAACTACGGCCTCCATAAACTACCAGTACATGACATGTATGAGATTAGTTACGCAGTCATTTTTTCAGATGCATAGACTTGATGGTGAAGGAAGGCATAACCCGTTGGTTACGTGAGCACCCTGTGAAGGCGAGGGGTTGAGCGATGCTCTGACTCATATTTAACACTCACTGACTGCAAGAATCAAAACGCCTATATTCAAGGATTTGAATATCATGTCTCACACTTTTCTTTGTGGAAGCGAGACGCAAGATATTTGGCCACTCAATTTCATCTCTGATACGAATCAAAGCTCTTAGACCACTGGTTTTCAACCAGTGGGCCATTGCCCACTGCTGGGCCATAGAGGCATTTTTTGAGTGGGCCACGAGCGTATTATAATTACTGTAGTTATTGGAAAGTTTAGTTTCATTTGTGTCACTATAATCAAATTTTTATTGTAGTAGCAATGAATGATGCAGCCGCTTTTTATTCTAACTATTAAAGTGAAAGTATTTAATTTTGCAGAAAGATTCTCGATTTTCTTGTAGTTTTTCCCTTGCATGAGAAAGTTAGTGGGCCAAGGAATTTTTATGCAACGAAAGTGGGCCATGAAAGAAAAAAGGTTGAGAACCACTGTCTTAGACAAAGCTGAATAACTGTTGTGATAGTTACAATTGACAGATTCTGATCAAAACTGAAAAGAGTAACCATAACTAGGTATACATAGTTTTTGCAGAGCCTTATTCTGAGAGAAGATGAACAGTGGCTCGAAGCACCATTATAAAGAATCACCTCGAAGTTGACAATATTCCCGATCTCTGGCACAAGGAACGATAGCATGGCTGTCAACATGGTGGAGACCATCAATCCAGGTACGGATAGCAGAGCAACATGACCGATGGATCTGAAGAGGAATTATCTGGGTCAATTTTGTTTCTTCTCTATTTACATTCTTTTTTTTTACTTGTAAGTATTGTAGGCTTAATAACAGGTTATGTCACATTTTACAATGAGAACATCATTGGCGATTGACCAACTATAAGACTTTATTTTGTTATTTATGATCAAGTCGTCCTATTGGCCTCACTCCATAACATGTGTGAAATAACATTCCATTCTCAGTCAGCTAAGTCCGTACATACGCCCGTCATATGGTTAAGTTTTTTATTGGCTTTATTCTGCCATATTGAATATGAAAAATTCTATCCTATACGGATAATATTACACTCACCTCCAGAAAACATGAGTGTCAATGACGTAGGCAGATTCAAAGATAACAACGGGCAGAAAGACGTGAAGAAATAATTCAGGATCCATGTCGCTCAGGAGGAAGGGTTGAACTTCCTAAAATGCATAAATATTTTAAACAGACACGTTCTAAACGTTTGCTCCCAAGTGGGACATGAACAAAAAAAACGCTGGCATAAGTTATTTCCCCACACTCCTTATATAAGGGGTGAACACCCCCCCCCCCCCCCCTAAAGTTTCACACACACCCCTCTCCCCGCCCTAATTTTGAGGTGTGGCACCAGTCATACCACGCTTTAATCCCGAACTTAAATATAATTGTATATTAATATTCAGAAAGTGACTTAATATACCAGTGTGGTCAGTCAAATACAAATAACATTTTTATAAATTACAAATAGTTTCATGACAACAGCAAAATATCTTTCACTCCCTAAATTTTGAAACACTACCTCCTAAAATAAAAGGCTGGGTGCATACTGGCTGATAAGTATAATGCTACCGTGTCAAGCTTCTGGTTTAAAAATTAGAAGTTGAGTCAAAAAATTATATTTATTATAAGTGTGAGAATGAAAGAAATTACTAGTACTTTGTTCAGGTTAAGGCATGGAAACGTCGTATAAAAATTTGAATATTTTGGTTTGAATAATAGGTCCGACATTGCCTTGGATAAGATTAATAGCTTGACTAGAAAGTCTGTAACTTACCACTGCATGGCTGGCGATTCCGGCAAGTAGCATTCCCACTAACATAAGGAACACGGTGTAGGGCAGTTTCATGAGACTTCCGTATTCGAATTGAGAAACGAAATTCGCCCATTTCCTTAGCAGAATGCGGAGGATGGCTTTAAATAAATGATATATTGTTACGCTTATCGCGGCAGGCGACAAGACGCTTATTGATAATCAAGATTCAGATATTTATTTTCGTCGTGCAAAACCAGATACAATATAAAAAAATATATATATAAAAAGGCATGCAAGATGCAACAAATCACAAAAACGGTTATCGGCTTGTTGCAGTTGATGAGAGGTCGTCGCGAAAACTCACAAGGAGTTATCTAGTTCAGTGGTTCCCAACCGCCGGTCCGCGGACCGGCTTTTTTGTCGGTCCGCGAGAGATTACGTTGCTTTGTTTTTCTGCCGTCTTAATCGTTTTACCGAAGCCGAAAAAACGAAGTTCCGTTTCTGTGTGCCTTTCTTACGCATAATGGGTGTCCAGCACTTCATTTTATTACGCAAATATATGGTATTATTTTATGTTTCACCCATTTCAGTGTTTGGGCGGCTCATTATTTCATAATTTTTCTGTGAAATGTGAAATGTTTTTAAGTGTGCTTTTTCAACCAGAAGCCCGATATTGCATTATATACGTGAATACCTGTTATTATTTTCTGTTCCAGTCATTTCAATTTTTTGCCGGCCCGCGATCACATTTTATTAATTTTACCGGTCCGCCAGGGTAGAACGGTTGGGAAACACTGTTAACGATATAAGGCCATGGGCATGGTCCAGATACCAGTCCAGTACGAGCATGGGAAATAAGTGACGATTTATTCTTTTCGGGCACATGGACTTAATGGCGGAGCCGTAACCCAGGGTGGGCAAGTTTTTGAACCGGAGGCCAAAGGACGGGCCATGTGAGTGTAACAGGAAAGTTACCTTTTATGAACAACATTCACAGTGCTGCAAAAGTAGAAAACAATAAGCCTTGTGCCAAAACTAAATTTAATCGGAATCTCAACAAATTCCTTGAGCTATTTTTAGCTAAAACATCAAAATTTGGTTTTAGTTTAGTTGTGGCAATATCAGGCGGGCCAGATTAAATTACCCAGCAGGCCGGATTTGGCCGCGCGCCGTAGTTTTCCTATGTCAGCTGTAACCCACAGCGATTAAAAAGCGCTTATTTTAAAGATAGACGAAGGCTACCATATGACGCAAGTTGAATGTTTTGTTGAATATTTCAAAGATTTCAACCAAGTCCAAATATTAAAAATCAATCGTACACAGAAATTATGGGAAAAGGGAGCAAAAGGAACCCAAATAGGATTTAAAAGATCGGGAATTTAAGCTTTGCAAATCAATACTGTCATTGTCAATTTGCGAATCATCCAACCAACATCGAGCGGCGGTGTGGCTCGTCGTGCTAAACGTTAGGAATTCGCTCGCTACCGCACCTCTGATTACTTCGCGCGGGTTCGCAGGTTCGAATTCCATGCAAGGATGGTTATGTGCGAGAGGATTGATGGGCACCTCGCCGCCGTAGGGTGGTTCACGTCACCTCTGATCGGTTACAGCTTCCCCCACCGTCAAGTCCATGCATCCGAAAACAAATACCTAACTAATCCCATACCCGACATAGAATTGTAACTGGACGAGAGGCCGTGTTTCGCAATATGGTTAAGTCGCTTATCGGCTTTCCTCCCCCGGGATAAATATGTAAATCCTATCCTATCTAGATAAATGCCTGCACCCGTGCTAAGGCTGGTCTAAATTCATAGCGATAAAGTTTAGCTAGTTTATTAATAAGTATATATTACAGAAAGCAACTCGTCTTATTTCTAGATAGGATTCCAAAAATAAGAAAATTACAAATTATCCAGTTATGTTCAGGGATGCAGATTGCACTGTAAATTCAAATTTTCAAATCATTCTTAAACGAACCCCAACTGGGTAATTACTAATATTTTATCTTCAAATGTGGCAGAGGTGTTTCTACAAACGAACAGACTATACTTCCTATAAAATTAAGATGGATCAGGTAGGGAAGATTACTTTCGTCGCATGGTAGGCTACATGATTCAAATAGTCTAACCCTAGCGTCTGGTAGAACGCAGATTTATATCAGTATTTCCGAGGATTGGCTGGTTACCTGCTCCATACCAGACTTAATAAGCAATAATGGCTTCCCTCGCCCAAAATAGGTAAATTAGGGTTGCCATACCGTCCGGAAAATTCCGGACATGTCTGGGATTTAGGGTTAAATTTTGCGTCCGGGAAGAATTTAAAAAATGCTCAAATGTCCGGAATCCGGAATTTTACTGCATCTGCAATCGTACTGTGCACACTGCTCATACAGAACATTGTTATTTCGTACCGTGCGCATATTTTTTATACGAGGTCATGAAAACAGTCATGGACTGTCCGGATTTTTTCTTTATTAAATTTGGTGACCCTAGGTAAATAGCAAAAATCTATTTCTCACCTCCGACGCCGCAACAGCCAAACACAAACAAAATCGTTGTTGGTTGGTGATGACCGGTGTGTCCTCCATGGGGGTCTTCTTCTTCGAGCGTCACATTAGTTCCATTTAGCGTACCGTTGTTATCTAATAAAGTTTCGTTTCCAAGAACTTCAAGCATTTTCGCTGTATTTCAAGGCGTCTTTTTCTTTGAGAATTTCAAGTTCTGAGCGGTCGCGCCGCTCGGCTTCAACTTAGCTAAAATTCGCCTCTTTTGCGACGAAATTTAGGCTTATTTACGTTGTTGCGGATTATTCATAGCTTCAATACAGTTAACTCACTCAAGGAATAGCGGAAACAGCAAGAAAAGCGGCGTTTTTACTTGAAACAGGAAACAAACCGCTCCAGCGGTCGGTACAAGCTTTTGCTTTTGTTTACATTGTGAATTTGACAAATTTCAATATGATTTGTTGCGTCATAGTAAACATTACTATTCGATAACAATTGTTCATAATCAACTAATTATGCTGCCCGTTCCGCATCACTGTCCATTTTACAAATAAAAATGCGTGATATAAACTATTATCTTCGTTTGAGAATAAAAATAGTGGTATATGAGCGTGTTTAATGCAGTCCTTTAAATACCGAGCCGATGTTCTGTCGTAAAGCTTATCTCTTCACCTGCGAATCGGATTTGCTTTCGCAGAACAATTTATACAAACCTAACCTGGGGATTCCAATCTGTTGTCTGACCGGATACATCTGGAACAATTAACTGTATATAAGATTTTTATATTTATCACGAGGAGAGGAAAGCCGATAAGACGACTTAATCATATGACGGACCACGACCTCTCGTCCGGTTTCAAGTCCATGCCATCAGTGTTTCCTCTAGTCTAAGGTGTGCACACACATACTACAAAAAATTAGAGGGAACATTGCATGCCAGGTATGAGAGTAATCAACCCGTAATTCGATTCAGAAGTCTAGTTCTTGCTCTTGGGTGGATCGCTATGCTAAATCGTTAGTCTTGTAGTTGAGCAAAAGTGGACTGTAAATAGTTTGCCAATCCATGGAAGTGGTCGCCGAATGAATATTACTTTATCAAAATTCCTAATTTTCTATATTGCCCCTGATGTGTCACACAATCAAAGCAGGCGAATCCATGACTCCGCACTTCGGTACACAATAGATCCATTGGCATTCATCACATTGTAGATGAAGCAAATGTTTGGCGAAGTATGTTCCCAAGCTTTTCATTTTCGGGATAATGTTTCGAAATTAATGGAGTGGCAGATATTCTGACTTCATTTTCTACATATTCGAACACAGTTATACTTTGTTTGGAATCGGAGTGTGGACAGAAAATCATTGTTGACGATGCACATTTGCTTGAAGCTAGGTTACGATCACAAAAAACAAAACTTTCTTGTAAAAGCAGACATAGGAAAGAATAGCCGTCACAATATGCCGGTATCACATCAACAAATAATCGAAAATACTACAGGTTCGAAATTCATTTATTAAATGTACAATCAGGAAAAAAAAGGAACAATTGAAGTCATTCGAGCATGGGCAGCAGAAAACGTAGCATAGGCCTACTACCAATGGTCACCCACTTGTTGTCCGACACTGAATAAAGATATCCACACATTAAAAAAAAATATATATATATATACAGAGATGGTGCTTCTTGGAAAGTACGAAAATATTTACATTCTTTTAAATACATAATGTCAACAAACTGATTTTCTTCAGATTTTCTGATTTTATTTTTTCGCTTGGTTTTTAAATGGCAAACAAGTAACTCGAGGAAAATTATTCTTACAAATTGTGACTTTGAATAAAACTTTTGACGGAACATTTCATTTATGTAAACTATCATTTTAAAATAAAAAAAAAACAGATCCGCAAATTTTGAATCCATTTTAAAAGAACTGGATACTAGAATAAATATCCTTAAAAACAGCTTAGAATCCACTTAATCCATGGAATCAGGAATCGTGTATGCAGACAACGTGTGAAATCAACTCGGGTACAGTACAGTACGGTACAGAGGTTGTTTGATATTACAATTAGGGGAAGGCATAACAATTAGGCTTGCACGTAATTTACGGAATTACTTCGAGTTACGGAAGCGAAGTTACGAATTACTATTGGTCGAGCGCTTTCGCGATTGAAACGAGCTCTCTTCAGAGCAGTCAATTCCGTCGATTGTAAAAAATTAAAGTTTAAGTAAAAGAAGTTAGAGTTCCGGTATTCGCAGCCGTTTTTCTCTCTCTTGTTAGGCAGATGGGAAGGCATAACGCGTCATTTATTAACCTATTATCAACTTATCTAGGATGGCCAATGTACATATTAACCGTAGATAAGGAATAGAATTGTGTTGAGACCGATGGACGTCAACACACCTGGTTTCAACTTCTTCCGGTGAAATGACTAAAGAATGTAAGAGATCAACTTATAAAACATGGTCTATTTGTAAATGCCGTGATAATTAATGTCGCGCTTATCAAACAGCAATATAAAGACGGAAGAGAAATTGCGTAATGAACCAACGCAGCTTAGTCTTTTCGGCATCGGTAAAGCGATTGAGACGGCAGAGAAACAACAATACGACGTGATTTCCCGTGTTTATTCTGCGCGAGATCCATTTTCTATTACAAAATCTTGATGTTCTGTTACCGATTTTATCGTTATATATCTGTCCGGACTTGGCATTGCTCAATATGTTTTTCACAATGCCTCGCAATATGTGGGCCAAATATGTTTACCTGTCTTTACCAAATGCGGCAACTTATTTTGATTTATCGTCGACTCGAATACCACCGGAACTCGACCAAACTTGTGTCAATCTTGGCAAATAGGATTGTCGACTTGAGTTAGAAAAATAAATTAATATTTTCATGAGTGCAAAATAAATGTCACAAAATGCATTGTTTTGCGATATAACTTTGTTTTTTCGGAGAAGGCATGTCATATAAGTACGGTATTTTAAATAATGCGCAAATAATTAATATTTGATCTAAATTTATCGCAAATAATGTTATAACTTTTAGGCCGCGAAATGATTTAATGTAAAATGGAGCATGGAATTCGGAATATCGTCAATAAGTCGGCATCAATAATTATTATAAAATGCTAACTAAGTAGTAAAGTCGGATATTGTAAAAAACGGTGGAAAAACAAGTCTTCGTCGCGAGGCAAGCGAAAGTATAATCAAACGAGAGAATACGCTTGTAGTTGAATAATAAATTAGCAACCCGGAATTTTTATTTAATACGAAAGTCGTTACGTTACGTTAATACGATTTTAAAAAAGTGAACTATCGTTTCTTAAATATATTACCAGTGTTGGTAATGATAAAATTGATCGCATAAAATTTGGTGATAAAGTGGATATAAAGTGATAAAAATCAGAATAAAATTATTTTGAATTCACTCCTTGATATTTGTCTTTAACATCTGTCGCCGCCGTGTAGTACTGCCGGGAATATGAAAACCAAACTTCGATGTGCCATTCGGAATAGAAGTGGATTAAATTGGTTGTTATGATAGGTTTAAATGCGTGAAAAAATATCGCAATTACGGGGTCATTACGTAATCGATTTGGCCGTAATTACGGAATTGATTTTTGTCAATTACTTGCAAGCCTAATTACAATACATACTATTCAAACAAACAAAAAAATTCCCAATTTTTGGTCACCGAAGTCAATTTGGATCTGGAACTAGCCAACATGTGGATACTACGATTCAGATTCTGTTTTTTTGTTTGTTTTACAATTACTTTTTTTCAAGGGTATGATAAATTCATTCTTTTTTCTCTTACTACACACGAAGTGTGTCGAGTGTCCTGTACAAAAACATTTAATTCGTTGTTTAAACGATTGAAAATCCGCGATACAGCTAGTACAATAAAATTGAAATTCAATAAAACAAAATGTCATTCGCTGCCTCCATAAACACTTTATGATACAATAATAGAATAATAACTAGTATGAAGCAGACATGGTGGACATACGTCGAGACCAGAGCCGTAGAGTAGGAAGTTGCTTTTGGTATCGGGAATATTCCACTCAAAAGTTTCTCACAAAATCTCTAAATAAGCGGTGTAAGGATTGGAGAGATAATATCGGCGGAATATTCTGTAGAATAAGTTTTGTCGGTGGACTCTTTTTGCGTGTGTGTGAGAATTATTGGTTGTTTTTTTATGCTGGCATCGAAGATTTTTCTCCTCTTCGAGACCAGAATTTAAAATTTCTAAAGTAGGGAATAAATTTACGATTCGACCGAAACTGAAAAGACTTTTCATAGCATTTTTTTTATCCCGGACTAAGTACATATCACATATTAAATTCTCCAACCAGAATATTTCATTTCTCAGAATCTGATCAAAAGTTTTATCCGCTCCCACAACCCTGGTCGTTACACAGTATATAATAAAACACGAAAATAGACAGCATATATCACGTGGCAGTTGTGTATAAGGGTTTGGGAGAATCGCATCCCAATCTGTGCGGACTATTATTTCATAAATGAAATAAAGTTGCTTGCCCTCGGCGGATTCGCTAGATTATTAATCTGATTTGTTGAAATGACAAATGTATGTTGAATGCTGAGGGCGGGCACGAAAAAAAATATTATTATTTTTCAGATTTTTCGGATGAAAAGGTACCATACAAAATATTTTATTTACGAGGCGTTTCGAGAGCCAATGATTTGATTTTAGTATTAATACGAAAGATGTTTTGGCCTTAACGTTGCTCAATTGAATTTGCGTTTTTCCAGCTTAGTAGTAGGTTGAAAACAAATCGCATAGTATTCAAAACTGAATTGAAAAAAGCCGGAGTGCGAGTTGTGCCTTAATAATATCTAAAGCTTCTTTGAAGATTGAAAAAAACAACGGAAACAAAATATAGTCGGTGAGAATAAAAAGAACCAAAATAGGCAAAACGATAATTTTATTGAAAAGGCTGGGAACAACTGGTTTAACTGTTTATCGTTTCAATTTGATATATTGCTTTGCAGAAATATTGGCAAGCCCGCACAAATTGGATGCGACCCCCCAAAACCCACTCCATGATTGACTTCAACCCAGTAAGAACTATTCTTCAGTCCCGAGTAAAGCCCGTGGATGATCCAGATCTAATCAGGCTTTACTCAAGAGTGAATGAAACAGATCTCACTTGAAAATATTTTATGGTGCAATGACATGAAGATTGGAATAAAATTCATTTCAAACACAAGTTTTAAAATAAATAGACAGTTAAAAAAAGCAAAGGAGTTTACACATGTTAGCAAAAAAACTTTATTTAGTTATCTGTGCCATTTTAGATAGGGAATTGGATCAGGGTGCTGAATTGTGGGTAAATTGTAACTAGCGGCACAATCGACTTTCAATTTGAGGTCGCAAAAAGACTATCAATTTTTTTTATTTTATATTCCCGTGGAAATTCGCAAACAAAGCGACAAATAAGCGTTCGTAAATAGACTGCAGAAAAACAAGCGAGACAGAAACCTTACTATTATCCACTACAGTAAAAATAATAAATAGATAAAAAAAAGTACATGTTGAAAAAAATCAAATATCCCGATATTAATTTGTACAAATACAGTTTGGCGAAATATGAAAATAAAATCGTGACTACTGTGAGAACCAAAATATGTACAGGAAAAACGCATTGACAGGAACAAAGGATGATTAAGCAACGGTTGCCTAAATCTTATACTTTTTACATGAGCTTGCTCAAAAAAAACATCAGTTAGAAGGTGGAAAGACGGGCTGCAGCGGATAAATAAAGTGCCAAGATCTGTACAATGGTTTAAACTCGCAAAAGAGATGTCAGTGAGGGATTATATCTTGTTGTTGCCATGTTCCGCTCCTGTTGTCCTGTGATTCACTGGTGCTTCCTGGTGGCAGTTGTGTTGGTGGCCAAAGCTCAGATTGCGGAGGTTGCTAAATAGTCAAGAGTAATAAACTCCAAATTAGCATTTGAATGCGTTTTTAAGTTTGCTTAATACTACTCTCGCTAAAGCAAAGTGTGAATTGGAATAAAATTCACATATTTATACCGGGGAAGAAAAAATCCCAGGAGACGGCTTAATGATATGGCGAATCACATCCTCTCGTCCGGTTACCAGTTTGTGTTGGTTCAGGGATTAGTTAGTCAGTTATTTGTTTCAAATGCATGGACTTAAACCAAGGTTGTGTTGTGGGCTTAGAAGCAAATTTGAGTTAACAAATAAATGTTGTGATAAAATATGGTTTAATTTGTTGTATGCATATTAGTAAAGCAAGGTGATGGAAATATAAAACATAATGAAAACAATTTATGTTCAAGACCAAACAGATTGAATCATACAGTATGTTGAGTGTGTATAGTAAACTATACTTTTTGATTTTGTCCGCTCTCCTGATTCTATAATCAGTTCTTATTTATTATTGTCTAGAGCAGTGGTTCCCAAACTTTTTAGAGTTAAGACCCACTATTTTTACCACAGCTTATGGCGACCCATTTAACTTTAATAAATTATTAAAAGATTGATGGAGGAAACAAATTTATTTTCTCAAATTGAATTTTCAGTGAATCTAGTGAGAAAGATGAGCTTGTTTCTTGCTATTTTCCATGATAGACTTGACATTTATTTCAATTCCAGATAGTTTTAGACGTAAAAAATTGAAAAGTTGCAGTTTATTTCGAAATTTGCTTTTAAATTTGCTTTGCCACCGATCCTAATAACCAGTATAATTAATCAAAGCTTTCTACATCCTTTCACGACCCACTGAGATTCCGCTTGCGACCCACCAGTAGGTCGCGACCCATAGTTCGGGAACCGCTGGTCTAGAGAGTTATAGAGTCGAAATAAACTCATACATGAGCTTTACATAAAAGTTGAGTGTGATAGTTGCAGGACAGGCACTACTGAGGGGGGCGACAACCTTTTGTCGCTCGCGGGCCAAAATTAAGGTTGCAAGTCACTGGCGGGGCGCACATATTTTTAGAAAGTTGGAAATCCGATCGGTTGGTACTTTTTATAATAAAAATCAAGCAGTGATACATCTCTGGAATAGAGTATAAATTTAATTCCTCATCGCATCTCATAAAATCCCATTTGAATATTTTCAGCGCATTCGAACCCTTTGCACATAGCATAAACTTTTCTGCATTTCGTTGCTATTTGTTTAATTACAATTAAATTATATGCTCATTTAAATTATATGCTCATTAAACGAGTAATTGTGAATTATATAATTGTTAGATTATAATATAATTTAGTCTGAAGAATATATTCGACAAAACGGATGTTTTGTTACTATAATTTAGTGAAGCGTCGCGGGCCAGATTATAGTGCTCCGCGAGACGGATCCGGCCCCCGGGCCGTAGGTTGCCGACCCCTGCACTACTGTATCAAATGGAAACTCACATATCCCTAGCTAAAGAGTTAACAAAACTGGATAGAATTAAGGAAGGATTTAACAGAAGTACTTGCAATTGACAAGGTATATTTCATATTTGTAAGTTAAGTTTGACTTATAAATCAGCGGATTCCAGATTCAGGGTCGAAGATAGTCGAAAAATGAGTCGTATGAAGTACAGAAAAATAAAAACCCAGGAAGTGTTTGTAACCAATAACCATCAAAGGTGGCAACACTTTGATAAACCTATAATATTTGCCATTTGATCAAAATTAATTCTCTACTAAAAAAATTTCATGAAATAAATATTAAAACCATGGCTAGTGCAGTAACAAAATAGCATCTAATGTGAAGTAAGCCTAAGCAGTGAACATTATTCTTTTTAATGGTTCTTTCTGTTTTCCTAACTATGAGGAAATAAGCAGTACTAACCCATTAGATTGTTGATTTATCCATCATGTCCGATGTAACTTGATGGTCTTCCTATAGATAAGACATAGGAACTAAATAACTGTTGTATGCTTGTGAATATAGCAAGAGGTAAGTCTACTTTGATTGGAATTTTTGAATTTTTTATTTGAATATTCATACACATTTTGATTTACATGACCTGCATCAAGAGTGTGATGTTCTTGGCAAACTGCCTATTTCATACTTACATTTTTACTTGACAATTTCTATGCACTAAGCTTTGAATTAGTGATTGTTGACACTCTTAACTTTTATGGGTCTTTATATAAATTTCAATGTAACTTCCCTTGAAGATAGGGAGCTACACTACCAAATTGTATTAGTATGATAACTTGAAGGCATAAGAGCTTTTATTTAAACCCTTGAAATTGTTTTAGTGTGGAAATGATTAGTTATAGAACTATCAAAAGGCATTCATCAACAGGATACTAAAAACCACATGTACTGAGGAAAAAATAAGTATCTTCCAAATAAAGCAAGGAGATATCCAGATGAAAGAGATGGAAAAAATAATCAAATTCATGTCTACACCATTTTAGTATCCATGCATAACAGCATGATTGCAAGCTTAGTTACGAGCCAAACATAAGAAAATAAGGCGAATATTAATATTAAATAGCATCAAAAATAAATATTCAGTACAGGTAAATGAATCCATGATAGGGAGGCCAAAAATGCACTCAATGTTAAGTCCAGTGAAATCCTAACAAGGAAATGATATATACTGAAAGCAAATGTAAAGCATATTGAGATTGATTGCTCTTATCATTTGCAGACAGCTTTTGGTTATTACTTATCGATCTCGATCGGTAAGTATGTTGATAGGTATTTGTGTGTTTGTCTGTTAGACACTTTCGTATGTTACGCAATATCTCACGAAAGCGAGATTGACGCGATATCTCACGAAAGCAAGTATCTCGGACCAGAAGCCTATTGATTTTGGATAAATTATGTCGTATAATTAGCAAGTTATTAATTAAGTAGTGATGTGGAAGATCGATAAGTCGGCGGTCTCTGATCGCTATCTCGTTGTTATTATTCTTCAATTTAAGGATAGTATTGTTTAAATTAAGTAATCAATTAAACGAAAAAGAATCAAAATCTAAAAATGGTTTAAGAAGTCTTGTTCAATGCAAAGCGCATTAAAATTACATGCAAAGCTCTAGCCTCTAATAGTATGTTAATGCTCGAATGCTTATCACCCAACTTACTACATGAAAGCAGGGCTCCCTGTGGATACAATAAAACAAATATTTCATCAAATTTAAACATGGACATGGACACATCTGACAGCACTCAAACCCTGATTAGGTGAAAAATCTATTTGCACAGCATGTCGTTCTTAGGATAGGATTTACATATTTATCCCGGCCCAGGAGGAGAGGAAAGTCGATAAGACGGCTTAACTATATGGCGAACCACGAACTCTCGTCCGGCTGCCATTCTATGTCGGGTATGGGATTAGTTAGTTATTGGTTTTCGGAAGCATGGACTTCCTTGTTCTATTACTACCAAATACCGTACTTGTTTCTTACATTGAAGTATGATTCGACACCTTGCTAATTGATATCTACCATATGTACAATACTGGTAGATAAGACAATACTGATATACGTTCAGTAGAAACAATTAGCACGCCAGAGAGGCAAAATCACTCAATTAAATAAAAGTTTGCTACAATACCATAAGCAAACTTACAAAAAACTTGGCCTGAAGTACATATACGTACAACATATGTCACAAAAACTAATACATTTTGTCAGTGATGATTAAAAATGGCGTACTATCTTAATTAAACATTAATTATCAGGATACCTTTTCTATATTCAGTCTTCTTAGTGCCACGGAACAAGGCTTCAGAACAACTCTATCAAGTGTATACCACCATTGTATATCTCCATTCGATTTGTGGAAAGTTCCTGACAAACGTTCTCTCGCAACCGATTGCTTTGAGTGGGAAAGAGACAATGTAGGCGGCATTGGCTGACTCCAGGGGGAGACTGGACGAGGAACTGCAAAGATAATATTGAAACTTATGTATGATACGAAAATATAGGAGAAATTTCAGATATCATGTCTTGCAACCATAGTATATTCAAGTTCACTACTACGGTTAAAGGAAAATAAAAAAGGGCGATGGAAATCTCACTCCAAAATATGAGTGCAAAGATAGAATATAGCTCACCTAGTGTATTGTCCAAATGATCTTCAGAAACCCCAGATGTTGTCAATGGTGGTGTGTAGGTTCTATGAGCTGGGAAACAAAGAAAAAAATATTGAAAGTTTCATGTTGGCTGTTATTATTAATGATAACGATACGTTAATGCCGCAAGTGGTATCGGTACTTGTTTTGGGTATAGGAAATGAGGCATAAATAAAGAAGTCCATACATAGGCACACAATCTATTTTTAACAAATTAAAAATATTTAAAATGTGCATTATGGACAATAACATACGATATACAACTTTTTTCTATGCCATTGTGCTGGAGGATCCATACTCATATATGCAAGGATAAGGCCTTGCCACACTAACACAAATGTATTTCTGTAACAATCCATTACAATATACATTTAACAGTCAAGAGAGACTCACCTTGGCGGTTGATGAGCAAATCTTCTGAACGCGTAGGTGAAGATAGCGGTGGTGTATAAGTTCCTGGAGCTAAGATACAATATAAAAAATATATAGGCAAAGTAGTGGAGCAGCAAATCTAGGAAATCTCTTGATTAGCGAATTTTAAAACCAGCATTAACTATTTCCAGAGAGGCGCAATCTACTTTTAAAGCTAAAAATCAAACAAACAGAAAAATACATCCAAGTATCGAAAGTATTATAACCCTAACCCTGAAAGGAAAAAATTTACCAAACTTTTTCATATGAGGTTATCAACCAACTAAAATCAGTTTTTATTTAAATTAAACAGCGACGCTCAAATATACAAACACGAAGGTTGTCTATCTGTGCAATTATGGTGAGAACCAAGATTGCTGAAAACACTGGCAGACAAGCAAAACAGAAGCGATCGAGAAATACAGAATTGAAAGTCAATTCAATTAGAACAGTGGTTCCCAAACTTTTTAGAGTTGGGACTATTTTTTTACCACAGCTTATGGCGACCCATTTAACTTTAATAAATTAATAAAAGATTGATGGAGGAAACAATTTTATTTTCTAAAATTGAATTTTCAGTGAAGCTAGTGAGAAAGATGAGCTTGTTTTTTGCTATTTTCCATAATAGACTTGACATTTATTTCAATTTCAGATAGTTTTAGACGTAGAAAATTAAAAAGTTGCAGTTTATTTCGAAATTTGCTTTGCCACCGATCCTAATAACCAGTATAATTGATCAAAGCTTTCTACATCTTTTCACGACCCACTGAGATTCTATTTGCGACCCATAGTATGGGAACTGCTGAATTAGAACATTGACATTTTTTGATAAATTTCCTGGTCTCATAACACGAAGAGGAAATTGGAACATAGTATAGTTATACCAATCTGGCGATTGAAATTTTGAAACTAATTACCCCTCTAGTTGTAAAAAGAAAATTTTTCACAGCAATAAAAATTTAACAAAACGATCCACCTGAGTCCAATAAATGTAATGCTGAATTTTGTCTGCTAAAAAATAACAAAAATCTGCGAACTATTGTAACTTCAGTAAATTTTAAATATCTGATCTTCTGCAACCCACCTCTTGCTTGCTTCGTCTTTTCCCCAAATACTGGTTCGAATCCTCCTTGCCACAAAGGTGTCGATGAAGACATTCCTCTAGGTTTCTGGTCGAATATCAAACCCATGTTCAACAGCTTTTGCATCGTTCGATATATATTCTGCTCCCGCTCTACTTTGGATACTCTTTCCTGCGAATAAAAAGAACAAAAACACATTTGAAATAGGTTATGGCACAAGGAATTCAACTGTAGAATGAGTAATGTATAAAAGAAGTATCATTAAACACAATTTCATATGACTATACTTGAACTTTTAACTGTTTTTGCACCTGACTATGCTTAAAGCGGTTGGATCTAGGAGCTGAAAGCCCTTCCCGCCCAAAGTGTAATTAAAGATAAATTTAGTGAGACAAAATAAATAGATTTTCAAGTATAAGTGGCTTTTGTCCCATAAAATAAAGGATTTTTTACGCTCTCAAATAGACGGAGGGATTTAGGCATTAAACATATATATATATGTACTCACTGGTTCTTTGTATGGCAATGGTATATTGGAGAACTTTGTTATTGTAGGCATCTTCCTTGGTCTCCAATTTCCCATTCTCGCGTTGCGTTTACGATGGATAGATGAGGAACTATGGAGAACGTGTCGTTTGATTGCTGGTGAGACAGGCGAATTTAAATTCAACTGCTTTGAATTTGGAACATTTGACTTAGGACTCTGTCTACCAGTCTTTGGGTCTGGTGCTGCTTTTGAATACTCCAATTTAACTTCACCTTGATTGCTGTTGGCACCTTTGTTTGTTTCTTGTTGTTTTGGGTCAGATTTATCATTTGAACGACTTTGCTTTGAGTATTTATCAGTATCAGATACGGAAGGATTTTCAATCTCTCTTTTCTTGGCTTTATCTTTTCCTTTGTTTGATGAATTAGAATTCTTCATACTCTGGTTATTCCAGTTGTTAAACTTGGCAAGTTTGGTTGGCGTTGTTGACAATATAATCTCATCAACAACATCTTTAAGAGACTCTTCTTCTTTATCAATATCGTTGGAACAAGGAGAAACAAAATTGTCTTTTTCAGCAGAATTTCTTGTTGTAGGATTCAAACTAGTTGGAGGCGATAGCACATTGACTTTATCTTTTAAATCTACTTTTCTTTGTTTGTGAGTTTCGAATTCTGGCATTTCCTTGGTAATCTTTGTTGTGGATTTAGGCTTCTTTACTCTGTGTCCTTCACTTTTTGCTCTTCTTGAAGATACAGTAGGAATTCTATCTTGTGAAGAAGAACCGTTTGATGGAATATCTGAGACAGATGAATGAAGCAATTTCAATTCGTCTTGCTCCATAGTATTTGTTTTATTGTCACCATTGTTTGAATCATTATGTAAAGACGCTTGATCAGTGAAATTTTCTTTCTCTTTGCTTTTTTCAGAGTCAAGACAACTTGGTTCATCTGGACAGTGTTTCTCACTGATATCTACTTCAGGTTGTGATTGGTCTTCCACATTGTCAATAGGTTTCTCTGTGTCATTAACAGTTGCTTTGATAATATCCGAACTAGTTGAAGTATTGTTTTCAGCACACAATGACCTCACAGTGGTTATTACGATGTCATTAGGTGAAGAGGAACTCACTGGTGCAGAAGCAGATGTTGATTCAGTATATGTGAAATTATTGGAGTTATTCGAGTTAAAACTTGGGCTTGTGTTGTTATTTTCTATCAATCTTGTTGTTTGGTTCGAATTGGTTTTTGGCAACTCAGTGGACGACGCATCTTGTGAAGTTACTGTCACGATTTGATTCGAAGAAGTGATTGCTGTATTCGTGTCAGCATCGCTTGTCATTATAGACTCAGAATCGCTAATTTGCTCTTGTTTAATTAGTTTCGATGTATCAGGCGTCGAACCGGTGCTTCGTCTTGGGGATTTGATCAATTTCATTGTTTGAAATATTTCTTCTGTTTCATCCGAACTAGAGTCACACAACAGTGAATATTTAGCAGCAGGTTTTTTCGGTGTTATTTTTCCTGGAGATTCATCCTTTTTAACAAGTTTTCTGCGCTTTCTTATAATATCACTCCCGCCTATGTGAGCATGTACATTATAGCCAAGCTTAATTGGAGTTTTTCTTTTCACCTGATCTGTAGTTTCCTTCTTCATGCTTATCTTGCTTTGAGGGGTCGTTGTTTTACTTTCAATCTCTTGTGCAGTTTTATTGTCAACCTTGTCTTCAATGGTTTTCCTGCTTTTAATCACCTTTCTTCTTGTGAATAACAACTTTTTGCGGCGCGATTTGTACATATATGGTCTCTTAGTTTTCTTTCCAAGTCCTTTGTCGGCTTGCGACTCAATTTCCAAAGTATTTTGATTGTCAACATTTGCATTCTCTGCTTTATTTTCTTGTACAGAAATAAAATCTGGGCTTGCAATTATATCTTCAGACTTTTCTGGCTCATGATTACCAGGATCGCATTTATCTACAGGGTTAATAGAAGACTCGATGTCACCCATAGAAGTTGCAACACTATCAATAGAAGATTCGATGTCATCCATAGAAGTTGCAACACTATCAGACAATTTTTCTGCATCTTTGGTCATCTCAGACTTTTGTTCTGTCTCTTCACTGGAAATACATTTTTCTTGTGAAGCAGACCTAGACAGGCTTACACTTGAAATTTTCAACTCAGGAGTTCCATTTGGTGTAGATTCAAAATAATCACTGTTATTAAAATACATATTATCATATTCATCGCAACACGCTTCTTCAACTTCGAACGATTCACAAGTTGGTTCTGGCCGATGCGGAATTGTCTCGATGATGTCAAAGTCATCAATTGTGATTTCCTTATCTCCATTAGCTGTAGACACTTTAGATGACGCCGCGAAGTTCAATTGTGGTGATACTATCACATTTGTTGTTGAAGGAGACTCGTCAGCATTAGTCTCTGAAGCCATTTCCTTGGATGAAGAACTAGTTTTGTCATTTTGAACAATGGAAGCGCCCTCTATTGTATTTTCACGTTTGTGAGAGTCCTCATCATTAGCATTACTAACGGACAATAAACCAAGTTGAAAAAAGTTTTCGCCAGACTTTTTGTCATCAACCCCTTGTGACATTCTCATCCTTTTTGCCTTGATAACTTCTTCCAAGGATTCTGGTCTGATGTTAATCACTTCATTATTAGACGTAACCGAAAAATTAGTCCGCATTTCGTAAGAATTTAAACGAGGAAGCGACAATTTTGGAGAATCTCTTGCATTCAATTTTAAAGCAGTCGTTAAATTTTCAGTCTCATTGAAGACTGGGTCATTTTCTGTGGCAAACTCAGCCAATTCTTTTTCTATTCCATTGTCAGATTCAGAATTTAATTCACTGTTTGCTTTGAGAGAAAATTCCATGGAAGTCTTTTTCACCGACTGTTCTTTGTTTCTATCTTCTAGTGTTGAGTTATCAATCGTTTTATCTGATTCAGCTAGAATTCCTTCAATTTCTTCTGAAACTGCTGAATTGTCTTTCTGTAGCTTTTCTGTGTCAGATTTTTCCTTATGAATTTCAGCAAGTCGATTCTTCTTTTCCTTGCTATTCTGCACAGCACTTTCAGCAGGATCACTTGATTCATTCTTTTCTGTTCCAACTTTGTTTCCATTCTCTGCAATGATCCCAGTGCTTGTTTTATTTCCTTTTATTTCCGCTTTACTGGTTTCGATCATTTTCCCAAGATTCTTCGATTGTTCATCCAAATTTTTATTTTTCATTCCAGCTACCATTATTGCAGATTTATTTTGTTCAGTGCCTTCATCTAATTCTTTCTCTTTAATTTCAGTTTCCTTTTTCATTGCAGTTCCCACAAATATTTCAGCAGATTTCTCTTGGTCATTATCTTCATTTACATTATTCAATTTCTGTTCATTTTCCAGAACAATTTCCACAAGTTCAGTTTCTTCATTTTCACTAATACTTTTCTTCTCGACAATATCTATTTCCTCATGCACAGACTTCGCATCTTTTTGAATTTTATTCATCACAAGAATCTCCTTTTCCAACTTTCCAAATGGTTCATCAAATTCAATGCTTCCTGCATTACTATCTTCATCAATGATCAGTTCGCCTTCACTCCAGTCTGAACTGAAATCATTTTCGTCTCCAAGTCCAGCTTTAAATATTGAAGCTGGACTTGCTGCGTTTTTTTTCGGCGAGAACTTTGATTTCTTCGGAGAAATATTGAGTTTTCTCACAGGAGAAGTTTCACTATCACTATTCCTCTGTCTTATTCTGTGCAAGGACTTGATTTTCTTGATTCTTTCAGGAGAAAGACACACACTGATAATGCTTCTCTTAGAACTACTGACAACTTTAGGAGACTTATTGATGGAGTCTTTCCCAACTTGTGCATCAGATACAATCTCACTATCTGACTTAGAACTTTCAGACTGTTTGTCTTGCACTGCCAATTGCATTTTCGATGTTTGATCATCAGCCAGAGTGGTATTTTTGTGTTGTATATTTTTGGTTGCATATTTTAACTGATTATCATTTTCAGCAGATTTCCTCGACTCTACAGAACTGGAATCTGCTCTCTGCCGTTCTCCTACAGTTTTGTCAAAAGTTTGCAATTTTTCACTCACACACGTTGTAATCTTTTCAAGATTATGATCCAACTTAACATGAACAATATTCTCAGAACGAGAAATTGGTAATGGAGTTTCCTTAGAAATACATGGCTTCTCAGAAGTAGGAACCTCGGTTTGACTTTTCAATTCTATCGTAGAATTGAAATCTTTGCATGAGATCATTTCTTGCTTGTTACTTTCATCAGAAAAGCTTTTGTAACTGATTTTGGTAACAGAATTGTGTGACTTCGTAGGAGCGTTTTGTTCTTTATTTTTAAGAAACTGCTCATTGCTATCTTTGCCAGGCACTATTGTTACATTCTGAGTTGCAGCAAGATTCTTGTTTAAGGTATTAGGAAGTTCAGCAGTAGTAGCTTTGGGTTTCTCATTTGGGTTATTATTGATGTCTCCAATTTTGTCCCCTTCGCGACTTATTCCAGCAGAGTCTGACTTATTGGATGAATTGTCAGTGTGGTTGCCAGATTTGACCTCAACACATTCAGCGAGATCATCAGATTTTTCTGTAGTCGTAGTTGCTTCATCTTTTGAACTATTTTCTACTTGAACTTCATTATTTTCAGAGTCCGGTTGTTTTCTGCCAACAGATAGGATTTGATCACCCTGATTCGCTTGACTTGTTGTGCATTCTTCGACCGCTGCTATTGCGGTGTTATGGATAACATCAAAATCATCAGAGCTGTTTATGACAACACAAGACTCTACCTCCACAATGACTCCATCTGTAGAATCAATTGTGACATTAGAAGCACTCATGATGTCAGTAGTACTTGAAAACAACGATTCTGACTGTTGTCCACTCTTATCTGATTCGGATAATTTGGCATCAGAATTATTATTCATTTGTGCTGAGTTTATAGTCTTTCCCTCAAAGACAGAGTCTCTGCATGTAATATCAGTCGAGGCAGAGAAATGCTCAACATTTTCCGGATTCAATATTGAAGCACATGATATTTGTTGTACAAAGTTGAACAATTCATTTGCCACAGATGAACCAGCTGGGGTGCTAGATTGCTTCTCAGTTTCGGGTGGCTGAACTTTTGATTGAAGCGTTTTTCGTGGGACTTCAATTTCTTTATCACTTGCAGTGGCAGGGGCGATCACTTTTTGAGCTGCAGACAAACTGGCTATGACATTGGTTTTCTTCTCTGTCTCAGATGGTAATTTTTTCGATGTAAGCAGTCCAAGTGTAACTTGTGTCTCCGACCCTTTCATAGGAGTTTCTTTCTTACTTGAAATAACAGTGATCTTTTGTTTCACAGGTGAACGTGCAATGATGCGAAATTTCTTTTCAGCTTCTGTTGGCATGTCTTTTGATTGTGGTGGTTTAAGTGGGACTTGGATTTTTGGCACTTTCAGTGAAAGAATTTTTTTAACTGCAATCGCTGGGGCAATTACTTTTTGTGCTGCAGATGAACTGGCTATGGTGTTAGGTTTCTTCTGAATTTCCTTTTTAGTTGCAATGGCAGAGGTTTTTGTTTTCTTTATTGACAAATCCAATGCGGATGTCTGTATAATATCATTGGGTCGGTTCTCCAGTCTGCACAAAGTTTTCATCGAATAGTCCAATGGCTCATCTCTGGGTTGCGGACTGTCGTGAGATAAGTCAATACACCCGGTTATATTAGTTGAGATAACGCTGATCTTATTGTGTTCTGTATTCTCACTCACAGAGTTAGCTGTTGTGGAAAGTGCAAATCTGGGATGTTGCGGTAAAGAAACTGGTGCTTGTAGTACTTTTATGAGCTGAGTCGTTTTGAGTTTGTCTGTTACGGCTTTTGAAGAGGGAACCTTTGTCTTTGTTGCTTTTATTTGAGGAGGCAAAGGCAATGATGGGGTCGTCCAGGTCACATTTGTGTTACAATGAGTACTTGGCTTATTAGCAATAACTACAGAACGAACTCGCTGATTTGATTTTAAGACAGATGCTTTTTCTGAAGTGATTAGTGACCGAAAATCATTCTGTTTCGTTTGTATTGACATTCTTGCCCGTTGTGATTTAACAATGGTGTTTTTAGATGATGATGAAGTAACAATACCACTGCCGGCTGATGTTATATGACTACTTGTTGAAGTCATAATAGATTTAGCACTTGTTGAAGACTTTGAAACAGACATAGCCGATGTTCTATTAGTAGCTGTTTCTCGGGTGAGATTGAGTGTTTTTGAAAACACAATTTGTGGTTCTGGAAGTTTGCTTGGGGTCTGATTTTGTCCTCTGAGTAGAGTGATAGGAGAGACAAGATGCATTTCCATAGGTGTAGATTGTGTACTTTTGAACCAACTCTCTAGAGAACAGCTGTCCAATTGTGGTGACTGACTTGAATCATCATTGGAGGACGAGCGAGATTTCTTCTTTCTCGTCTTCTTAGGCGCTTTCTTTTTAGCTTTTTTACTTTCAAGTTCTGTGGATATGTGTCGTGACCTCTGTTCTACTGCTTGAGCAGGAAGAGGACTACCAGTGAGGGGAGATGTTGAATGAGGCCGGTCATGCCCGGGTAAATTTGTTGGGCTACTCGCTCCCCCTTTCCATTCCGCCATAACCTTCGCTTTTGCGTTTGATACTGTTTCCCTATTAGTTTTAAGCTCTACATTCTTTGTTGTAGTACTCTTTTTTCTACTCTTCTGCGCGGGGATGGATATCATCTTTGTGAGAGGGGTTTTCACATTACATCCATACTTCTTTTTACGCTCACTGTCAAAGAGTTGCTCTGGACTTTTTAAGCTAGATGTTGTGGTGGGTGTAGTAGTTCCTGGTTTAAGAGAATAGCAAGCAACAATTTTCGGCAAATTTTCCTCTTCAGAAAGTATTTTTGAGACATTTTGAGGTTCATGCATCTTAGCTATGTTAGCTTTCTTCGGCTCAGTAGATTTCCGTGAATTCTTGGTAACACTTGGCCCTACACGATCACTGACAGGAAGAGATGACACCACTTTTACAGGTTTTGTAGATTCTGTGTTGGGAATTACAGAAGGTAGAATGATATCTCGAAGTGTTTCGGCGGAATAATGGATGATCTTCTGCTCTAACTTGTGACGATCAGGAGACTTATTCTTGTTCTTCAGTCTTTCCTGTTCTTTTCTCCAGATTTCAGGATCGCAGACCCAAAACGGTTCTTCATCTTCCTCATCATCCTGTTGATCATGCATGACTTGTGGTGATTGAATGAATTCAAAGAACTCTTCAGTGAACGCTGGTTTGGGAGATGGTGTGGTTGGTAACTTTTTACCAGTAGATGGTGAGTTTCTACCAATGATTGATATTTTCTTACCAGCACTTGGTCGCCTTTTCCCAATACTTTGTGGTAATTCAGGTTTTCTGAAAGTGCCAACACTGGTCGGGGCAGAATGGGTGGGTGTAATAAAGTTTTGTTGGGATTGGGAACCAGGTTTTATTGTAAGACTGGGATAAATATTGGATGCCAAAGTGTGACTACTGGTGCTGGTTTGTACAGGTTGGTTAATTGAACCAAAGTTACCTGCATAATCAAACTGTGAGCGGACAGTCTGGTTACCATTAGCGACAGACTGGAAGCTTCCATTGTGGGTGGAGACAGGTTGGTTAATGGTACCAGTTTGCATATACAATCCTTGGTTATTTAAATTCGGATGGTTTTGATTGGTAGCACCAGTTTGCGCAATCTGGTTGGCCAATGCACTTTGCATTGAAGACATTTGATTGGGCGTGGATTGGTAAGTAACAATGTTCTGAGACGTTGGGTACAATTGTCGCAAATCATCTAAACTTTTTAGGCCAATTATATCAGTGACGTCATTTCTCATTGATTCAAACGTGTATGGTTGCTTGGTGTTGGAAAGTTCGTCACTTGGTAGTGGTTGGAAACCACCAATCTGGTAAGGATGGTGTTGTTGGTATGAACTTGGTCTGCAACTGTTATTATTCATGTTCTGGTACTGTCCAGGTTGTTGGTTCTGTAAAACCATAATGGAATTTGTTACCCTGTTGTCTTATAGAGAAGGATACTTTACTACCAGTGGAAACAGCGAAGTTCCAGACTACAACTGCATAAACCGTCTATATGGAATTTTTATGCAAGTTGCAAGTTTGTGGTGCTTTTTTTCATTATCTTACCAAAAATTTAAGAGCACATTAGCACATGTTTTAGTATAGGTGATTAGATATTTCTCATATTAGTTAAAAAACACACAATTGAGTGTGATTTAGTGCATGTGATTACTCAGTTTTTATGAAATAGCAAACTTTTCTGTGCGTTGCACTTCATGTGATTATTTATTTATTCATTATGAGTTAGCGGACAGTTTTGTGTGGTTTTCCGAGTCTGTGCGTTTCAGTGTATGCACTATTTATTTCTAAACATATACCCTTGCGTGTGTGTATGTTTAAGTTTGTAGTTATATAGTTTTTATGAGAGACCGAACATTTGTAGTGTGTATTTTCTACATGTGATTATTTGTTACTCATTCTCATAATTTAACACTCTGTGTAGGGGTGGGTGTTTTTGTTTATGTGATTATTTCTCTCTTATGTGATATTTTAGTTTATGCAACTAATTATTTAATAGGGGTTACCAAACACAAGTGTGTATAATTTAGCGTATGTGACTATTATTTCTTATGCGTTGGCAAACAGATGTATATGTGAATATCATTTATCATTGGTGATCATACATAGTGTGTGTGTGTGTTTTAGTGCATGAGATTAGTTTCTTCATTTATGGTCTGTTCTATTTTGAAATAATTAATTGTAGAGGTTTGAAAGTTTTGCCCAACATCAAAGGACCTGACCTGCGTGTAAAAGCAGTTTTCAAAAATATAATTTCTTAAAGTGCGTCTTGCACATATAGATCAAACTTGATGTCTATATGGCAGCCCGATAATGTCTCTTATTGGAGGCCATTTAGTTAGCAATTAGACTAATAAAGCCATCCATATTCATATCCTGTCGACTTTATGGAAGCCACCTGTCATCTACCGAGGCTATTGTTTGATCGTAATCATGTTATGACTCAACCAATATATCGACATAGCATTTAGAAACTATAATACTCTAAAGAGCCTTTATTATGTAACACAATGAATGTGCTTACGAACATGAAAATTGACTAAAAACTAAAATTCATCTTCCCGAATACGCATACCGTATATGCTCGTTTTACAGCCCGATCTTGATTAAGGGCCTGTTTGAATAGCCGCCCGTTTGAACAGAACATAAAAACAAATAAGGGCTGGTGCTTGAATAACCCCCCTCCCCCTTGATTTTTTTAGTGGTAGAAAACAATAGGAAATAAGAAGCGCTTTTGTCACAACGCTGTTGAATTTTAAGCGCCGGTAGATAACACTCCTGCCTTAGGCATCCAAGTACATAACAGATAGCATTGATTACGTAACACCATGGTTCTCAAACTGGGCGTCGCAAAACTTTTCTTCTTTTGCGGATTTGTACCTGCGGTGCGTAGAAAAAAAGTCAAAATTTTCGTTATTCTCGTTTAAATCATACTTGAGAACTGGAAATAACAATATATAAATTATTGTAACGATCGAAAATAACAAGCGCCTGTGCTTGAATAAGGGCCCGGTTAGTGAGTTGGTTGAAAAAAATATGGGCCTGGGCTACGAAACGAGCAAATACGGTACTGGTATATCTTTGCTCTATGAGCGAGATGTAAAAAGGGTTCTATGCTATAGACTCTCTGCAGTGGGCATATAATAAACCACAAATTGCAACACCGAGGAAATTGTTATGTGGGCGAAGGCATACTTGGCCATGTACTTTCTTGCTCGTCAAATTAGCACAAAACGCAAATAAAATTATCTGTAAGGGCTAAACCTAACCTGGCCGAAAAGCCCTGAATAAAAAGAATTTTCAAAGAACTTCGTAAATATAATATCTGAATATATATTTAATTTTTAGATTACAGAAATAACAAAATATTATAAACATCTCAACTTGTATTTACTCCCAAAAAACAAGCCAGCTACAGCCAGTCAAATGACGATTAGGACCAGATATCCATTCCTGCGCATATCTATCCTGTACCTATGCCATATGATTTTTAGTGTTTTTGCAGTAGCATCCATCCATATCAATATACTGGAAGACACAACATAAACATTATTGATTGCCCAAGGCATAGAGCTGGGGTGAGCACAATTTTTTAGTATAAGAGCCGCATGCTGCAAGCTAGAACTTTAGAAGAGCCGCAGAATTTGTGAATTTATTATTAATAAAATACCATGAACAGAAAAGAAATTCACACAAGAGTCTAATAACAATAAATAGATAAACAAGGAAGCTATGCTCAAATATATGCACAATTTGAGCTCATTTAATTTGTGTTTCCTTATAGCTGATTTACGTGGGTAGTCTCGTAAGAAGTTTTCATGATTCGTTTCATGGTGCCGTTTAACATTGCTGACTTTATTTTGACTTAGTAGCTTATGACAGATTGGGCACAAAGGTTTATTCTCCTGACTGGTAAATTCGTATTGTTCCTCCCATTCTGACTTGACCACTCTGTTTTCCTCTTCGTTTTTTCCTTTCTTAATTGAGGACATATCGCAGAGTATTAGACTGACTAACCGCAATCAAGCTGCAATACCACCGGCGCATCAATAAACATTGACCATTGTGACGAAAGATTTGCTGACTTGATTGACTTAAATTAAAAATTCCATGCTACAGCGATTTTCATACTAAAACATAATTTGTCTTAATCATTGACGAAAACTTCTTTACAACTTTTAATGAATTAAAAAGTTTACATTAAAGTTTTTCTCTTAGTTAAAATTTGGATAATAATTTATGTTAGCGAGGAGAGCCGCACAAAAAGTCGCGGTGTGCCCACCCCTGGCATAGAGCATGCCATTTCTTGAATATGAAGACCAGCTGGCTCAGAAATATTCCCACAAGTAATGGCTTATCGACTCTCAAGTGTGCGTACATATAGGTAGTGCTAAGGATGTTCATATACAATGCCGCATTGACTGTTTGATTCGCCCCCTTTTCTGTGTTTATACGTCAACGTCTGTGCAGAATCTGACACTGATATCTCTTAAACTCTGTCATTATATACGAAGACTGACATAAATAAAAAAAAACAGCAAATTACTATTTTCCTATTTATACGCGAGAAATTTTGTAAGATGAGTAAGCATATAGCAAACCACGCCCTGTAATCAGCACCAATCCAGGCCATATTTGGAATTAGCTAAAAAATGGATTCAAATGGATAATCGTAGTCTGTGGCCCGAAGCTGGTGATGGCACCAGGTTAGTCACAGCAAGAAAAGGAAAGAAATCCATATTCGAACAGCATTCTTGAACTGCAATAGTATAGCATGGCACCTAGCAATTACGGTACGCACAAGAATATTTCCCATGGGATCCAAGTTGTGTTTAGCGGCCTTGCAAATAGCCAAGCGTGTTTTGTTAGAAAGTCTCTGATGAAAAGCATAGCTGAGGTCTGTGGAGCATTAGATGGAGTTTGGTATTTTTAATGGATAACAGAGCCATAGTTCAATTATGAACATCCCATATTTTCTCGCAGCAGAAGATTGAAGAAGGCTTGACATATATTATTTCTATCCCAAATTTGATTTCCCCAAAATCCATTAGAAAAGTAGGTAGGTAGTAAGTAGGTGACTGAAATAAATTGAAAATTCTCTCAATTTGTAGTGGGTAGCCTTATTCAAATTGGAATTGGGTATTGGATTCACAGCCCTGATTTAAATATTCATGATTGTTTTTCACACTTTTGCTTATAACAAGCCCTTATACAAGCAACCTTATACAAGCAAACTAAAATGCAGACAAAAACCTCCAATGAACAATATTAAAAAAAAAAAGGAATTTCCATCGAATAAATTAGTATTCAAATGATCTCAATCCTCAAGTAATCTGTATTTATTGACTGTTTCGCTCCATCTCCCGAGTCGCAGTATATTTCGTCTCCGGAACTTCATTATTATGTTTGAGCTGGGCTCCAGCTTTGGCACCAATTGAGCTTTTTAAGTATGACTATGAAATACCAAATGCAGAAGGACTAAAAACTATGATATAAGGGTTTCAGATTTTAAAACCAAATTTTATAATATATAAATTCAAATTGAAACTTCCATATAAAGTGGGAATAGTGCACCAACATAAATCTTTGTAGTGGTTGCCCTTATTAACTGGCTCAGAGATGACTTCGAAGTGATTGCATGTGACGCACCACCATTATGTCTATATAGTTTCAACGGCTCTTGGAATTTCAGTGGATGCCCATAACTTCACTCAGAGATGAGTCTGCTTTAATTCTGAGTGAGTGCGTGCAGTGCACTACTTTCGCTTCAGAGCGAGTTTGACGTTGCCCCGAGCTTTTAAAATTTAACCGTGGCTTCGTAATTTGTAAAGTAGACTGCGTTTTGATTGGCTGATTTGCACGTCCATCCGTGTGTGACGTGTCTATGTTTAGGCCAATAACACCATAAATCGATAGGCGCTCCAGAAGTATGTGTACCAATATGGAGGTAGCTACGGTAACTAATTTTGTTCGCCTTTTTACATAAGTTGTGGAAAGGGACTGAAACCTATGGGCAGGAGGTATATTCACTTGGCTAACACAGACAGTTGTGTAAACGGACTGAAACCTATGGGCAGGAGGTATATTCACTTGGCTAACACAGACAGTCCCTAAACTCCTATTTGAACTAAAAGAGGGGAAAACGGGATCAAAATATGGCGTAAACCTAACCTGGTACACATACTACGGGAGTATCAATATTGAATTACCGTAATACATACACCAATACAAACATATTATTACACTAACCATAGATACAGTTGCATCTTGCTGTTGCACAATTGCGACATTTCCATTATGAATAACAATCTGTGTGTTGCCGGCCATCATCCTTGCATTTCCTCCTCCCACAGGGGGATTCCCTGATGAAGTTTTAGGCTGGTGTTGCAGGTTAACATATTGATGTTGTTGTAGGTAAATTCCATTATGATTCATATCAACCTTACTACTGGCTATATTCTCCTATTTATATTATTACACATAGCTGAAATAGCATAAAAAAAAATCGAAATAAATTTCATGTTAAACAAGCGCCTTGCTGCATGAAAAAGCACAACAAAACATGCTCAAATACTTGGAGACGTAGGCCAGAATGAGGTATCTGGTATACCTTTCACAGCAGACTACCGGTAATGCAATCTTTGACTGGACTAACTAACGTGAACGCAGCACCACCACATGGAGCGTAATTTTCAATTTTGATGATGTCATTGCATACAAAATAGTACCCCATAAAGCTCGAAGAAATTTTTAAAATAAGTAATAATAGCATTCCAGCGAAAAATACAAGAATCTTCAACCATTAAAAGTTCAATGCAATTGGTCCATTAGTCAAAGAGCAAAGCAAGAAAAGATGAAACTATAGGTTATCCTTGCCTAGATGCTCGCACAGGGCATTATTGGATTGAAAGTAAAAAAACACATTATAAAAATCATAGGAAAAATTTTGACGTGTACCAATATGAAGGTAACTAATTTTGTTTACCTACTTTACATCAAGTTGTGTAAAGAGACGGAAGGGTAGGGGGTATATTCACTTGGCTAACACAGGGAGACCCCGAACTCGTAATAAAACTAGATAGCATTCGGAGACCTCCGACTTATCGATCATCCGCATGTTCAATACTTTACTCGACAATGCTCCACATCGCAGACAGGGCATTGTTACACACACAATCGTTCGCATCGACGAAAGTTAGGGGATATCCCAAAACAGAAACTGCAGTTTCGATTCCTTTGCTCTGTCTCAATAGAGACACCGCGTGTCCCATCACTAATTAAATAATAACTCGCTAATTATACGACATAATTCATCCTAAATCAATAGGCTTATGGTCTGAGATATGATGAATGCACATGCCAAATTTGGATCAACCTCGCTTTCGTGAGATATCGCGTAACATACGAAAGTGTCTAACAGACAAACAAACACCTATCAACATACTTACCATACACCTATCAACATACTTACAAAAAATAACAAATGGACAAATTCATTGAAAAAACATGCAATATTTAACTGCAGTCGACGAGAGGCCGAAATCTGTACCCAAAATCGGTGTAGATAAGCGTGTGCAGTCGATCCTTCTCCTTTCAAATTTTTGGAAAACTGAAAAAGTCGCAAATACCGCAAGCGATCGCTTTTTGCTAAAATTCCTGATTGTTTTTATCAGCGCGTTGTGTTATTTAGACCGTGAACATTTTAAGTTGGTGTTTATTCTTCATGAATCACAACAATTATTTCATGACAACGATAATAATTACTTTATTTTTGCCCAGAATTGAAATTCGCTGAGAGTTATTATACAATCAATCAATTAGGGCATAATTTTATTTCAATTTTCCTTATTTAAGTTTTTTTACGAGTTTGGGGACTAGCTAAATGACTCCTGTAGTATTTGTACCTGAAATTATGGCCTATCCCCTAACCTGGTACACACACTACGTTCCGGTGTTCGCCATCATGGTGCACATACTACGGGAGTACCAAAATAAATTTCATCTTCTTTAGTATTTATCACGATTTCATTGTTTCTGGCTACAAAACTAATCGCGAGTGGCCTTAATAATACTTATTACTTAAGTCGTCCAAAGACAGGTCGGATGTAGAAATGCTGTATGCCGAAATCTCTCGTAAGCTAGTTTCCATGCACGTTATCCAATAAAATGAATTTGTTTCTCATCCGCTTACTATTCAAATCAGGTAGTTCGCTATGCAAACCATACGCATAAAAATGTTTGGCACGCAAATGTGCTCATTATTCATAAACTGGCACACCCCTGCCCTAATCCAAATCTGGTACACATACTACGGGATTACCAAAATTTCTATATCAAAACTATACAAAGGATCCACTACAGAACATTACCCACCAATAGCGTTATTTACAAATTCTTGTCTTGGCAAGCGCATGCAAATACAAGGATCTAAATACGATTGCTCAAATTGGTAACGCAGTTTTGATTTAAGAAATATAATGAGCTGAGTTCTTCTGAACTTTCAAAACCTGTCCTTCCAAAAAAGTTTTCAGTCGCCAAACTGACTGTGAGCCAGACTCTCACTAGTTCGTTGTCACTGTAACTTCCAGTGTACCTTGCAAAAACTTCAGCTCTGTGGAATTCACTGCTTTGTAGTTGTATTGACCTGAACTTCTTCTAGTCTCGCGCCGATTGGCATTTATTTCAAGTAATGCTATTCTATAGTTCTTTATAGTGTCAGTAGCAATTGGCACTTCAGTACCCAGCCGCCTGTAACTTGACTTGAGAATCACTCTCCTTCACTTTCAAGTAAGTGTGAGTGATTTTGCTTCCAGCAAATTCTTCATGGTAATGGTAACTATATAAGCATATCCTTCCAACTAACACAACCAATCTTCATTCCTGCAATGCAACCTCCCTTCCTAGCAACAGCGTGCTTATCTCAAACTCACAATTACTGCCATAAAATGCCAAGTCTACGTGTGATGAAATTCCGTAATATATTGACAGTCATCATGTCAGTGCAAAGCAACATCTGTAAAACAAACACACTCGCCCTATTTCAACATCTATGAGCAAATAATTGAGATCATTATGTACACATAAAGTGTTTTCATGAGTTCACAAAAGAGAGCATTGTGTACATATAAGCCCTTAGTGATTACGTCAAGAGACAATAAATTGCTGACAACGAAAAACACAAAAGGCACAGAACAAAGATAAATAGTTTCTCCTAACAATATAAAGCACATTCTTTAAATTTTACAAGCATCAATCCATCTCAATCAAACAAGAGCTGTCCAATATGAATTTCAGGCTCAGTGGCATAGCGGTTGAACTGTTGAACTTATTTATTAACTGTGTTTGCGTCACAAAATAATTTATAGAGTTCAAATCTCAATAGTGTTTTTTTTCACAATGCTGAAAAAACATAATGAATAGAATAGAGTGAAAAATAGTATTTCGGAGGTGAACAATAACCTCAAAAAAATAATGGCTATCGAGCAGAAATACTCTACATGGCAAGTGCAGTTTTAAGTATTCTGTGGCGTCTGCAGCTGCCGCAAAACCATGGCGGTATTTCCATACCATGGCTGCTACGGTCAAACCTATGGCGACTGACTTTTTAGCTGCCACAAACCAATGGCAGGTTACCGCGGCAGCAAATTGAAAACCAATGGCAGGTAAAATTTTGCTGGCGTAACTGCGGCAGGTGGGCCGTAAGGATAGGGCTGTCCCTTATGGTGACAAATATTGAGTAAGTTGGAACGTTTTTCTTATGAATACAGTTTTGATGGATTTGGGGTTAGGGTTTAAATAGATATAATTCCACATGATCAATTAAAATATGGTACATTAATTTGTGAATATACCGTTAATACTGATTACTGATATTGAATATCGCTTTAAAACCATGGCAAGAGCTGCCGCGGTTCGTTCGTGGCAGGAGCTGCCATGAAGTAGTAAGAACTGCGCCTCCTATATGGAGTCTAAAACAATAGAAAAATAAAAATTGTAATATAGGGTTTCTAGTGTTTTTAGACGGTTTTCCACTGTTTTTAAGCGTTAGCCAATGCTAAGCCAAATAATTCTGGTACTTTCAGCTATTCACCCAGGATGCAATAAAATAGTTGGGTTGCCGCTGAAACTTGTCATAAGTGGTTTCCTAAGTTATATTCACACAAAAGGATGTCGCGATAATATTACGAGAATATCGGTCAGAGACCGAAGACTCATCGATCGAAAGTTAGGGGATCCCCAAAACAGCCCTCTTACTCCATAGTGACACCTTGTGTCCCATCACTAATTAATTAATAACTCGCTAATTATACAACATAATTCATCCAAAGTCAATAGGCTTCTGGTCCGAGATATGATGAATGCACATGCAAATTTTGGAGCAGATTCAACCACGGCTTCGTGAGATATCGCGAGCATCTAATAGACAGACAGACAGACAAAGATGACAGACAAATTGGACTTCCTGACCTAACTAACCCCTTTCAGACCTACCCCACTTTCTATTAAAACACAATACATTGGACAAAAGTGAAATAATCATAATTTTTCCTGAAATTGAAGATTATCTGATTGGACAATTTTAGATTAACCTTTTCACACCTGATACTAATTCACAATCAAACGCTAAATCAATGAATATGGAATATTGAAATAAATTTAATAAAATGAACAAATACTAAAATATATTTATTATTCCTTATTAAGTCGAGGGTTAACTAATTTGATCTACATTTCTAAGTTAAATTTACTCTTTATTGAACTTCAATTAAAAAACGAGGGAAAATAGTTGGTTACCACTCAACCATTACTAAATAAGCAACATAATCCTGCTTTAGATGTAAAAACTTAAGACTTTCTGAGGCTGTGGAATAGGTTAAATAAAGCATTACAACAAATTACAACTATTTGATATCGCTCCAGCAACTCGGTAAGTAAAAAATTCAGAACACTTATCGAGAATACTGTTTTGTATATTTCTCCTTAAGACTCAGACCTGCAATCCGATAGTTACCGCTCAACCATGTGATAAGTGGTTTCCTGAGTATGTAATCCTATTTCAGATGTGAAATCTTATACTTCAATAGGCAGACCTTTTAAAAAAATTAACAGTGGTTCAACACATGATAACATTCGAAAAATAAAAATTAGCCTAATTTATTAGACTATTAAAAATTGAAAAAATTCTGTTATTTGATTCCCTGTTTCATAATTCTATTTGAGAAGTCAAACCTTATACTTCCATAGGCACAGCTTATAAGCACCAACAGACAGCGTTCAAACACATAAATATATGTCTCTGTATATGTATAGCATATAGGTTTCAAATTAAAGAAGTATTTGTAGCTTCCTGTATACTAGTGGCAGCTTGCCTGAAGCCTTGCTGTAAGTACCAATTTATCTATGTTGCACTTGAATTTTCCCTCGTCTCTGTTGCACTTTAAGGACAATTAAAAACATTCTGATTTTTGTTTTCCCCACAA